CGTCCTCTTCGACCAGGTCAGCGCTCCTCCCCGCCTCGCCTTGCCTTGCCCGGCTGCCGCTGCGCCACCAGGCCGTTCGCCCCCCGCCTCCATTGACCAAGGACGTGCCACGTGTGCTTCTCGCGTTTCTGCGCACACGTTGAGTCTGTGTGTGCGCAGCGGATTGTGGGAGTGATGTGAGCGGGGCGAGGGGTGGCGCTGTATGGGACGAGGGAGTTGATCGCAAGCAGGTTATGACACCAACGGATTCCATTCCATTCCCTTCTCCCCTGTCTCTTGGCCGTGCAGAACGCCAATCGCTGCAATCGCCTGGGTGCGGCGGGGCCTCAAGCAGCACAAGGGGCGGCGCAGGAGGCAACGGGGCAGGCACAAGGAGCGCAAGGAGCGCCCGCTGAGGCACTGGCGGTGACGTGGAGGAATCTGTGCTCGCGATTCGTGCGCCTTAATGGCATCCTCTTCACACACGCCAGGTCCACACCCTCTCCTCTCCCTCTCCCTCTCAAACCTCAATCTGCTTGCATCGCCTCCCGCACTGCCCTCAGGCCTAACCTTTCACGTTCCTCGCATCGTGTGTGTGTGTGCGTCTGTTTCCTCTTGTGCGTGGTGTGCGTGGTGTGTGAGTGCAGCCTGGAGTCGTTCGGCGCCGTGTATCTGGCGGCCATGAACGACTTGGAGCGCCTGCTCGCTGCGCCGCCACACGCCCTGCAACCCGTGCTGGCGGTGGGGTCGTCCGCGTGCCCCACTCTCCCTGCCGCGGGCGCGGAGGCCACAGTGGTGGTGCAGATGGTGGCGTGCCTCGTGTGCACCGTGCACGCCATGCTCGCCCCGCACCACGCCTTCCCCTTCGCCCCCCGCCCCGCCAGCGACGCCGATGACACGCGCAGCACGAGCGTGCCGTCCAGCGCGCAGCTGCAGCAGCAGGCGGACCGCCTGCGCCACGCCGTCACGCTCGCCTTTGAGTTCGTCGGCCGCCTGCTCTCGCGCTGCGCCGCCTCCCCCGCGCCGCTCGCCTCGCCGCTCTTCCCCGCCGCCACCGTCTTCCTGCAGTGGCTCGCCGCCCACCCCCACCTCGCCGCGCGCACCAACGATGAGGCGTCGGGGCCGGGGGGACACGCGGGCGAGGGCGCAGGCGGGGGGGGCGAGGACAGGGAGAGCGCGGCGCGCATGTTCATGTGGGGGCAGGCCGTGGTGGTGCTCAACCGCCTGCTGCAGGAGCACAGCCGCCTGCTGCCCCCGCTGCTGGTGGCGCACCAGGGGGGCGTGCAGGGCCTGGCGGGCGGGCAGGGGGAGAGCAGCGGCGGGGCAGTGGGGCTGTGGGAGGACGTGGAGCTGCGGGGCTTTGAACCGCTGCCGCATGTGTGTAGTGATGGGCCTAATGACGCGCAGAGGGACGGGCAGCTGGACGTGGACGGCTGGCAGGGCGGCACGGGGGGTGCGGAGGGGCAGGAGGCAGTGTGGGCGCGGGGCAGGAGGGCTGTGTGCGCTGCTTTGACTTTGTCGGGATGGGTGCAAGGCGGTGCAGGTGGGGCAGCATGGGCGCCAGGGGACGGCAGCAGCGGCAGTGTGTTGCACTTCAGCAGGCGGCATGGGAGGTTCTTCATTGCATCACTCGTGGCGGATCAGCTGCCCTCACCGCCTGCTGCCAGTGCAGCACATCCCACGCACGTGGTGCATGGCACCAGCGCGGGCAGTGCACACACGGCGGCACCAGGGTCACTCGCCACTGCCTCCGCCACCCCTGCTCGCCCTGCACCCGCGTTCAACCACCACGTGCCTGCTGCGCCGCTGCCGTGGGGTGCTGCAACCATGGGAAGCGCGGGGCAGGGGCTTGCGGGGGAGATGGCAGGGGTGGAGGCAGGGGGCGACGGGCAGGGCGAGGAGGAAGGGGAGGGGGATGGGGAGGAGGTGCCGCTGTGGGCGGTGGAGGAGCTGATAGGGATAGACAGCTCAGCGGAGCAGAGCGAGCAGCACATGCGCGAGCTCAGCGCACACACCCACGCCGCTCACTCCGAGCGCCACAATGGGGTGCTGCCTGGCGCTGCTGGTAACGGTGGGGTGGAGGAGCACGAGGAGGAGGAGGAGGAGGAGATGATTGTGTTCCAGCCCTGGGCCTCCGGTGCTGCTGCTGCTGCTGTGCCGGCTGTGCTGCACACCGCTGCTCCCAGGGCAACTGATTCGGTCAATAAACCAGCGGCAGGGGTGCAGGCAGCAGGGGGTGGGGGCAGGGCAGGTGTGGAGGGGGGTGCATGGCAGGTGTCACACGGACTGCTGGCAGCAGGAGGTGAGGGGTTGGGTGACGACTTCCTGGCAGGGCTCAGTGGCGCCGCCGCACCGCACTTGTCCTCCCTGCCACCATCCTCCTCGCCCTCCCCACGCTCCTCCTCTCCTGCCATGCACACTGCACCCTCGCCCAACCTGCACCCTCTGCCTGCTTCCCCTGCCACCACTGCTGTCGCGGACGGCAGTCTGCGTCGCGTGCCATCGGGAGCAGGAGTGATCGGGCAGGACCGCCACCGCCTGGCGCACAGCGACGGCCATGGCCATGCGCGTACGCATGGGTACATGGAGGCAGCAGCAGGCCAGCCCAGCCACCCGGCTGCTGACCTGCCTGGGCTGTGGGGTGCTGCACCTCTCCATGCTGCTGCCACCGCCCCACCTGCTCCTGCTCCTTCTGCTGCTGCCACTGCGCCTGCTGGTGGCTCTGCTGCCCTGACGGCACTGCTGGGCGCGGGGTTGAGTGAGCACGAGCTGAGTGCGCTGCTGGCCAAGGCGCACCAACTCGCACTGCACCCTCATGCGCCGCCATCGGCAGTTCGAGGCGGCCAGTACCAGAGTGGCTATTCGCAAGTGAGTGGGGCGGGAGCGGTGTGGCCCACATCCCTCACCCACACCCCTCCACCCGCAGCTGCGGCGCCCAACTCCTTCTTCGCCGGCCCCTCTGCTGCACCCCTTGCTGCCGGGCAGCTGCCTTTCCCGCACCTGCATGCGCAGCAGCACCCGGGCTATGAGGGGCAGCAGTATGGGGGCGGGGTGCAGAGGGGCATGGGTGCAGTGGATCAGGTGATGGCCTCCTCCGCCTTCTCTGCGCCCTCAGCACCACCACCAGCCGGCAGCAGTGCACACACAGGCGCTGCTCCCCCGCCCATGCCAGCCATGCACGCTGCTGCTGCCACTCCGCAGCAGCAGGCAGCAGCAGCGCAGGCGTCTCTGCAGCCCCCGCAGGCAGCAGCGGCGCCCAACTCGTGGCACTGGATGCAGCACGCACACCACCCCTGGGGGCCCTGACCCACTCCACCCTCCTTGAGCACAACTCAACACAATCGGTGGGCTGTAGTGTTTATGCTGGGCCAGCCAGGTGCGCCTCTGTGCTCCTGTGCTGAATAGTAGGTGGGCTTTGTGACCAAACTCAGGACGGGTCGAGGCTTTTTGGGGTTGCAGGGGCCATGTGCCGCCCTCACTTGCCCCATCTCATCAACTCCCCTTCGTTCGTCCCACCCGTTGCCCTCCCCCTTGCACATGCCCTCCCTTCACAGCCACATCAAAAGCACCGAATTCGTCGCCTGTGCGGCTGCTGCACTGGCAGCGCTGCTGCTGGTGGTGCCATGGTGCAATGGGCCGACAGCAGGTGCATGTATGGCACGTGGGCAACCCGCACCTCGTCACTGCTGCCCTGCACGCATGCCTGCCTGCCCACACACTTGCTGGCGGGGCAGCATGGTGGGGTGGGGTGGCGTGTGGTTGGACGTGGGGAGTGGGTCAGAGGAGCATGCTGAGTGGGGCAGGCTCGGCCCCTGCCTACCCCATTCAGCACCATTCCACGCCGTTGGTTTGATTTCCTGGCAATGCGAGTGTCACCAGTGCCACCACAGCAACCAGATTTGGGCCGCCGCAGCATGAGCAAGGTGTTCCAGTGGCACACATCATGTGACTCCTGGGCCCTGGCCGTGTGGATGACATGCCACCTTGTCGCCGTGTCGCTGCTGCTAGCCGTGCTCACTTGTTTGGAGGGATGGCATGGAATGGAATCGTGGTTGTGGCTGTTGGTGTGTATGGGAAACCGGGTGTTGGTTATGCATGCCAGTTTGGATACAAGCAGCATTTACCGTAGGTTAGGCTGTGACAATGAGACTGGAAGCATATGTTGTCTACGGCTGTTATGGAGGTACCGTACGGTATGGGCTGTGCTTGAACAACAGCATTCTTATCAAATTTACTTATGGACTGGGAAAGCGAGTAAACTCAGGGTTACCAGTTTGCCCTGGTCGCGAGCGTGAGCGGAAATGGACACCCTTCTGAGCTGAGAGGCACGTTCGCCACCCTTTTCGCCTGGCCAGTGGGCCCTGCGGTCCCTTGCGGAACGATCTCCTTTCCACCTGTCCTGCCCTCGCCTGCCACCCACCCGCCCCCTTCACCACCACCACCCGCGCAGATCACAACGCTCCCTGGACCCACTCGGACTCACACCAGCGCACCCCCAATGTTGACACGCACTGCACATGCCACCAATTCGTCTGAGAGTCTTCGAGATCGTCGCGCCTTGACGCCACTTGCGCTCTTCCGCCTGCCGTGCCGCACGGCGCGTCGCCGGCGTGGCGGCCGCTGCATTCTATCCCGTCGCGCCGCAGCCTAGTGACGGAGTACGACTGTGACGTACCAAAGCTTTGTGTGTCCGCTCCCTAATGCTAGTCTTTAAATAACCAGGCGACCCACTGTGCACTCTCCTGCGCGTCGCATTGCTGACCTCGCCACACTCACATTCCTTGTGCCTGGCGGCAGTGCTGCGATCGTGCGCGTGGGCAATGTGAGCGCCTCTTGTGTGGCGGCACATGTGGCGGTCCAGGTGGAGTCGCGAGGGCCGTGAGGCTGCACGCGCAGTGACGGCTGAGACGCATCATTAACGCCCACACTTCCCCATTGCCCAGGATTAGGGTGCGCGCGCGGAGAGACGGCCGGGGAAAAGACGGCGGCGACGAGAATAGGGCGCAGGGAGGGAGCGGGAAATGGAGGGGGACAGCGCGGGGAATGGCGAGCGCGCGGAAACAAGCGGGGCAGAAGCGGAAGCCGTGCAGGGGGGACTGGAGGAGCCGATAGAGGCGGCAGGGGCAGGCGAGGGGGAACGGGGGAGCGGCGCGATGGAGGACGATGGGGGTGTGGGGGAGCGCGATGGCGCGGCCGCGGCTGAGGCGCGGAATAACGAAAGGGAAGCGCCCGGGCGGCGCAGCAAGGAAGGCACCAGCGGGCGGCGCACAGGCGGGCGAGACGCGAGTGAGCGAGGAGGGGCCGAGAAATTGGCGGGAGAGGGATTGAAGGCGAGGGGTGAGGGGCGGCGCAGGAGCGAGGGGGCTGCGAATTTGAACGGGGAGCCAGCGGAGGGCGCCAAAGGGAGGGGCGCGGGACCGCGCAAAGGCGAGCGCGCGGTGAGGGGGAGTGCAGGGAATGCCACGTCGTCCCCCCGCTCGAATGGCAGCAGCGGGGCGGCGAGGGCAAGCGCGCGGACCCCTGGCATCAGCATGGCGTCTCCGCGCAACGCTGCTTCTTCCGCCACTGCTGCCGCGCGGGCAGACGGCCCAGGGGCGGCAGCAGAGAGCGCAGGGGAGGCAGCAGAGAGCGCAGGGGCGGCAACAGATAGCACAGGGGCGGCAACAGAGGCGGCAGCAGGGAGTGCAGCGCCAGCAGCAGCGGAGAAGAGGCGCGCGAACGGGGGAGACGCGGAGGGTGGGGCGGAAGGTGAAGACTCTGGTGAGGGGGGGAGTGTGACAGGGGGAGGAGGAGGGCCCGCGCAGGCGATGGAGAGTGCAGGCGGAAGCGAGCAGACGACACAAGGGGAGGTGGCGGAGGAGGCTGTGCGGAACAACGATGGGGGCAGCAAGGATGGGGGGGAAAAGGGTGCGAGAGAGGGAGGAGAGGGAATGCAGGGAGGGGAGTGTGCAGCGGAGCCAGGCTCCGGTAAAGAGGAGGAGGGGTGCAAGGAGGGGGAGGCGGGTGGAGGCAAGGGGACCGGAGGGGTGGATGGGCAAGATGGGGGGGTGGGTGGTGTTGAGGGCGAGGTGGCATGGCAGGCAGTGAGGGGGCGGTTAGAGTCCCGCGTGGGTGCAGCGGGCGACATCGCCTCGCCCCGCCTGCTCGCGCCTCCGCTGCCCGCTGCTGCTTCTGCACCAGCCGCCCCCACAGCAGAGGGGGCAGCGCCCGCTGCTGCAGCGCCAGGCGCTTCCGCAGCGGTGGGCAGGGCAGAGCAAGCCGCATGGGGGGCTGAGGGGGAAGAGCAAGTGCCAGAGCAGCATGAGGAGGGGGAGGGCGCGGAGGGGGAGGCGGAGGGCGCGGGGGGGGGAGGGGCGGGGGAGGCGGGTGAGGCGGGTGCGGTCGATGGACGCGGCCTTCTCCCCGCTGCTGGCTGCCGACCCCTCCGCCTGGCAGGCCGCTGGTCGCCCCGCGTGGCACGGCGTCATGGGGTGGGGCGCACGCGTGGTGCGCAGCCTTGCCAAGGGCGGGCTGGGGGGGAAGCGCGCGGGCAAGGGCGGGAAGGGCAAGGGCGGGGCGGAGACGGAGGGTGAGGAGGAGGCGCGGGCAGAGGAGGCGGCGGCGTGGGACGCGTATGTGTTGGCAGGGGACGCGAGTGCCGGAGGCGATGGCGTGGTGGTGCTGCCACTGGGGCCAGCAGGGGTGCCCCGCACACACACCGCCGGGGAGGTGTGGGCAGCGCCGCCTGGCGTGGGCGCTGCTGTGGCGGGGCTGGGTGGGGTGCAGCGGGGCGGGGCGGGCGTGGGGTGGGCGCAAGCGGTGTTCCCCCGCAGCCACTCGGACAGCGTTCGGGAGAGCCGCGCCGGTCGCCGCGCCGCCTCCCTGCTCGCCCCTGCTGGCGGTGGTGGTGATGTGTGGGCGGGCGCAGCAGCGGCGGAGAGGGTGGTGGTGCTGCGGACAAGTGGCGAGGAGAGGGTGGATAGAGAGGCGCAGCAGAGTGGCGCAGGCAGAGCAGCGGGGAAGAGTGCGGACGCAGAGGGGGCGCGGGAAGGGGGGGCCACGGATGGGGAGGCAGGGCATGGAGGGAGGGCGGAGGAAGGGGGGGAGGAGGCGAGCAGCAAAGGGGGGGCGAGTGGCGTGGCGGAGCAGAGTGCAGCAGAGGCGAGCAAGGCGCGCGCAGACGCAGTGCTGGCAGCAGCGGTGATGGCGGCGAATGCGAGCACCAAACCACAGTGGGCCTCGCAGCACCAGTGGCACACGCAGCCACACGACCCACAAGGGCAGGGGGGAGGAGGGGGGACAGAGGCAGAGGCAATGGAGGAGGAGAGGAGGCGAGCAGAGGAGGCGGAGAAGAAGCGAGCGTGGGACGAGGCGGTGAGGGCGGTGCGGCTGAGGGACCAGCAGCGCCGCCAGCAGGCCGCTGCCGCCCTCGCTGCTGAGGAGGCTGCACGGGGCGGCAGAGCGGGCGGCAAGGGAGGGCAGGCAGCACGGCGCCTGGCGAGGCGGCGACGCCGCGTGGTGGCTCGGCTGGTGGCGGAGGTGGGAGAGAGAGGGGAAAGGGCTGGGAGGCTTATTTTGGGGGAAAGGGGATGCTTGAGTCGGGCAGTGGGAGGCGAGAGGCAAGGAAATTGGGCAAGAGAGAAAGTAAAGATAATGAGAGGAGGTGGGAGAGGAAGGTGTGGCATACAAGAAGCAAAAAGCCTTGTCGTACTTTTTTCATGCAGGTGTATCCAAGGCCATGTGCTTTGTTTCCCCTCATTTTCCTCCTGTTCCCTTCACTTCCCTTGATCGTCCGTGCCTCCCCTCCCCCCACCTGTGCTGTGGCGTGAGGCACAGACGGGCGAGCTGAGGGAGGCGGTGGAGGGCAGGAGGGCGAGGAGGAGCGCGGTGGAGTACCACCTTCTGCACGCCGGCATCTTCCTCGACCCACCCGCCAACCCCTCCCCTGTACCGCCTTGCTTGTGCCTGCCCTTGTGTTGCCCCTCCCTCCCCATCCCCACTTCCCTCACAATCCGCCACAGCCCATTGTGATCCTTGCGAATGATGCCGCTGCCACATCTCTTCCTTCCACCTGCTCGCTACCCTTCCTTCCTTCCTTTCCCTCCCTCACCCTCCCACATCCCCTCACCCTCCTGCTTGTGGGTGGAACCCTCTCTCATCCCTTCGCCCCCCGCCCATCTCCCCCATGTGTTGCCTGACGGGTTGTGCTGGGTGTGCGGGGGCATGGCGGCAGGAGGAGGAGGAGGAGGCGCGGAGGGAGGCGGCGGAGGTGGAGTGGCTGAGGGGGGAGGTGAGGGTGGCGCGGCGGTGGATGGACGTGCAGCGCCTCGTATGGATCAACCGCGACCGTCAGCACCGCGCCCTGCTGCGCCGCGGAGGGCACGAGGAGCAGCGCGCACAGCTGCAGCACATGATGTGAGATGCAGCACATGATGTGAGATGCAGCACATGATGTGAGATGCAGCACATGATGTGAGATGCAGCACATGATGTGAGATGCAGCACATGATGTGTGATGCAGCACATGATGTGAGATGCAGCACATGATGTGAGATGCAGCACATGATGTGAGATGCAGCACATGATGTGAGATGCAGCACATGATGTGAGATGCAGCACATGATGTGTGATGCAGCACATGATGTGAGATGCAGCACATGATGTGAGATGCAGCACATGATGTGAGATGCAGCACATGATGTGAGATGCAGCACATGATGTGAGATGCAGCACATGATGTGAGATGCAGCACATGATGTGAGATGCAGCACATGATGTGTGATGCAGCACATGATGTGAGATGCAGCACATGATGTGTGATGCAGCACATGATGTGAGATGCAGCACATGATGTGAGATGCAGCACATGATGTGTGATGCAGCACATGATGTGAGATGCAGCACATGATGTGAGATGCAGCACATGATGTGAGATGCAGCACATGATGTGAGATGCAGCACATGATGTGAGATGCAGCACATGATGTGAGATGCAGCACATGATGTGAGATGCAGCACATGATGTGTGATGCAGCACATGATGTGAGATGCAGCACATGATGTGAGATGCAGCACATGATGTGAGATGCAGCACATGATGTGAGATGCAGCACATGATGTGAGATGCAGCACATGATGTGTGATGCAGCACATGATGTGAGATGCAGCACATGATGTGAGATGCAGCACATGATGTGAGATGCAGCACATGATGTGAGATGCAGCACATGATGTGAGATGCAGCACATGATGTGAGATGCAGCACATGATGTGAGATGCAGCACATGATGTGTGATGCAGCACATGATGTGAGATGCAGCACATGATGTGTGATGCAGCACATGATGTGAGATGCAGCACATGATGTGAGATGCAGCACATGATGTGTGATGCAGCACATGATGTGAGATGCAGCACATGATGTGAGCACAACTCTGCCAAGGGTGAGAGCTGTACTTGCTGAGTGGAAACGAGTGATTGCCTTTGTACCACATAACCACGCCTCCTTGCTCGTGTGTACAGTGTTTCCTGCTCTAATGCCCCAACCCTTCATGCCCCCCCATGCCGCCATGCCCCCATGGCAGACAGCAGCTGGAGAGCCAGCTGTCTCAGTTGGAGCGGCACGAGGGGCTGCTGAGAGAAGGAAACTCGCAGGTGGGCGGGCAGCTGGCAGGTGGGCGGGCAGATAGGGGCAGGTGGGAGGGGAAGTGACAGGTGGGTGGGCAAGTGGCATGTGCAAGGGGCGCTTGCATGCCTGTCCCTGAACGCCTGGATTCACACCATATATAACGCTGCATGTCACAACACATGTCCCACCACGTGTCGCTGCTCTCTGCCTGTTTCCCTCCCCCTCCCCAACCCCAACCCCAGCTCAACGAAGCATTGGCACAGGGCACGGCGCTGCCAGCAGCAGCAGCGGCCATGCTGTCCTTGGCGTCCTTCTCCTCCCTGCCACCGGACCCCGCCTCCTCCTTCCCCCACGACCTCTCGCTCTCCGACATGCCTGACGATGCCTCACTCACCTCCGAGCCGCACTCCTCCGCGCTGCCCCCCTGGCTCGCCTCCCCCTCCACCGCCTCCGCCAGCCCAGCGCCCTCCATGGGCCGCCCCCCCTCCGCCTCGCGCCGCTCCCTGCCCGCCTCGCACTTCGCGCAGCCAGCCCCCCACGTGCCGTCGCCCTCCCCCCGCCACAGTGCGCACAGCCTCAGCGGCCCGCTGCCCTCCCCGCGCTCGCGCTGGCGCTCGCGCTCGCGCAACGCGTCGGGGCGGCGCCAGGCACTGGAGCCACTGGCAGTGGGGGTGGGGGGAGGAGGAGGGGGCGAGGGCGAGGAGGGGATGTCGGACGAGGTGTCCCCCCAGCCCATGTGCGCGCCCTTCACCCCCACCTCCTCCCGCCGCACCATCGACCAGAGCCGCGGCGCCCTGGATGGCCGCATGACCGGGGTGAGTGCATGACCGGGGTGAGTGGCTGTGAGGAGCGACGTGATTTGTGGCCTCCACCTTCCTGTCTGCCCTGACTCCTATTAACACCCTTGTTGCCCGCCTGCCACTGTGCCTGCCTGCATGCCTGGTTCTTCAACCTCGTACCCATTCCCGTTCTCCTCACTGCCGCTCCTCCTGTGCTCGTGGGTGGGCGGGGCAGGTGGCAGAGAGGGAGGCGGGAGAGGAGGAGGAGGACATGCAGGGCGGTGGGGACACGGGCGCACTCACGCCCTCGTCGTCGCGCTTCTGGGGCTCCGCCCCTGACAGACGGCAGACCGACCGCGAGCGCGAGCAGGAGAGGGAGCGGGAGAGGGAGTGGGAGCGGGAGAAGGAGAGGGAGAGGGAGAAGGAAAGGGAGAAGGAGAGGGAGCGGGAGAGGGAGAGGGAGCGGGAGAGGGAGAGGGAGCGGGGAGGGGGAGGCGGGGCGATGGATCTGGCAGCGCGCTTCACTCGCGCGCTCTCACTGGCACGCACCGATGCAGACAAAGGGGGGGGTGCGGGGGTGAAGGGGGAGAAGGAGAAGGCGTCAGGGCGGTGGTGGGGGGGCCTCAACACGCCGAGCTCACGGGCGGTGGGGCCGGCAGAGGCGTACCGAGTGGAGCCGGGGGAGGGCTCCACCATCCTGCACATCTTCCACCAGGTCACACCCCATCCTGCACATCTTCCACCAGGTCACACCCCATCCTGCACATCTTCCACCAGGTCACACCCCATCCTGCACATCTTCCACCAGGTCACACCCCATCCTGCACATCTTCCACCAGGTCACACCCCATCCTGCACATCTTCCACCAGGTCACACCCCATCCTGCACATCTTCCACCAGGTCACACCCCATCCTGCACATCTTCCACCAGGTCACACCCCATCCTGCACATCTTCCACCAGGTCACTGCCCCCCCGCCCATCTTCCACCAGGTCACTGCCCCCCCGCCCATCTTCCACCAGGTCACTGTCCCCCCGCCCATCTTCCACCAGGTCACTGCCAACCCGCCTCCCAGCCTCATTACTGCCTTGCTTTGCCTCTCTCTGCCATGCCTCCTCCCTTCCTCTCACCGCCATTTACTGCCCTCCCTTTGCCATCCCACCGACCTCTCACCGCCCTCCCCCCGCTGCCCTGCGCCAGGCATCACGGCGCATGCGCAGCATGGAGGCGGGCGACTTTGAGATCGCCGAGTGCGAGCTCTTCACGGCGCGCGACGACGTGGACGACCTCAGGGCGCACCCCAACCTGCTCTCTGAGCACATGCTCATCTGCCTCCTCCGTTAGTCGCCACCCTTCATCTCGTTCATGTTTCAACTGCTTGCTCTGCTTCGTCTCGTTCATGTTCTACGGTTTCAACTGCTTGCTCTATGTTTTCTACCATGCTGCGCCCTGCCGCTCTGAACTTATTTGTTCCTCACATCGTTCACGGCTCGCCTCACGCATCATCCATGGGAACCCCTCCCCCAACAGAGATCTACCGCCGCCATGCCTTTGGCGCCGTCACATCGCCCGACCGCTTTGCCACCACGCCTCGCTCCGCCACCTTCGGCCCCTCCACCCAGCCCCTTTCCTTCCCCGACCCGCCCCTGCCCCGCCCCCCCCACCACCCCCCCTCGCGCCGCCGCACCTTCTTCCGCAGCCGCAGCGCCGCCAACCCCTCCTCCCATGCCTCGCACTCCCCGCGCTCCTCCCCCCGCCGCCACAAGCGCGCAGCAAAGGGGGGCGGGGAGGGGTACGGCAGCGACGAGGACGCGGCAGGGCGGCCGTACCCGCAGGCGTATGGTGGCGTGGCGGTGGGCGGCGGGCCGTGGGAGGACGGCGTGAGCAGCACGGACGGGGAGAGCCCGTCGGGGCTGAGAGGCGCGCGGCATGGGTGGGACGACGGGGAGGGGCGGGGGGGGCAGTGGCAGGCGAGGCGGGGGAGGCGGAGGGGTGGGGGAGGGAGCATGGAGGAGGCGACGTTGACGGAGGTGTCAGAGTGGGAGGAGGTGGGCGACGACGACACGGACGTGGACCTGCGCCACCTCCGCGCCTCCGAGCTCGACCTCCTTGGCCCGCCCTCCGCCTCGCCGCTGCGCCCGCGCCTGCGCCCGCGCACGCCCACCACGCTCTGGCTGCGCCACCGCCACCGCCACCACCGCTCGTCCGGGGGGGGCAGTGGGTGGGGCGCTGGCGCACAGCAGCAGGGGAGAGGCGGCGATGTGGCATCGCCGTACAGCAGTGGGAGGAGGGGGGCCGGTGGACACGGGGAGTTTCCGAACCCCAGCACGCCCAGCAGTGCCAGCGCTGCAGCAGGCGCTCTGCGGCTGGGGAGAACAACGTCCACCCGCGTGGTCACTGCTGTCGCCCGCGTGCTGCCCCCCCCTGCTCCCTCCGCCCCCGCTGCCACTCCCCCTGCTGCTGGCGCTCCGGGGGCTGGGGCAGGGGCGAAGGGGGGTAAGGAGAAGGAGAAGGAGAGAGGAGGGAAGGGGAAGCACGGGGGCCAGGACACAGCTGGCAGCGCCGCAGCAGCAGCAGCAGGAGCAGCAGCAGCAGCAGCCGCAGCAGCTGCTGCAGAGAAGGGCGAGTTGGGAGCAGACGACTTTGAGAAGTTTTTCGGAACGAGTGGAGAGGTGCCAGCGCCGACGGAGTGGAGTGCGCTGAGCAGCGCGCAGCTGGACCCGTATGGGGTGTTTGGCGAGCACCTGTGCCCGGACGCGGGCAACTACATTCAGATGCTGGCCGTGCAGCACCCGCCCTCCGAGGCCACCATGACCCATGCTGACGCCACTCGCCTCCTGCACTTCCGGTGAGAGAGGGAGCACGGATGGGAAGGAGCTTTGTGGGGCAGCAGCGGAGAGGGGGTCTCCCTCGCTCTCTTTTGAGACGTCTCAAAAGGGGTCTCCCTCTCTCTCCTTCTCCCCGCCTCTCTTATGCCTGCCTGCCTGCCTCTATGCCACCCTGCTTCGCCCCCCCATTTCCCCCCTTCAGAGCCATGGCAGCGCAGCTGGAGGAGGTGGACCCATCAGTGCTGGCGCACAACGAGCGCCTGGCGTTCTGGATCAACATCTACAACGCCATGCTGCTCTACGTGAGTGCTGCGCGCTGCCGCTCTATGTCATTCCTTCTCCTGCATCATGCTTCTGCTGCTGCGGCTCCGTCTGTGCCTTTCAGTCCGCTACAAGCCTGGCAGCAAGAGGCCGTGAGGGACCAAGTGAGGGACCAAGTGAGGGACCAAGTGAAAGCGCCAAAACAGCCAGGATTGCTCGTCTACGTTTCTCCAGGTTTTTCCACTTTCTCCAATCTGGCCCCAGCCGCCCCTCTCCCCCTCCCCTCCCCTCCCCTTCCCCTCCTCACTGTTTTCTGTGTGTGTGCCGCGTGGTGTGTGTGCGTGCAGATCTACATCGTCATCCCCGTGCCCACTGACTTTGCTGACCGCATCGCTCTCTTCAGCAAGGTCCGTGCCATGCCGCTCCCTCTGCACACACACACACACACACACACACACACACACACACACACACACACACACACACACACACACACACACACACGCATGGCATGTCGATTCGGACGATAAATGGTGGGAGCGAAAGCGGGGGAGTGGTAGTAGGGTTGAGGGAGTGGTGGTGTGTGATGGTGGGAGCAAAGGGCTTGACAGTGTGCGGATGCTGGCCTCTCCCCATTGTGCGTCTCACTACTCTCTCTTGTGCCACCATGCCATGCCACCCATGCCCATGCCACCATGCCATGCCACCCATGCCCATGCCACCATGCCATGCCACCCATGCCCATGCCACCATGCCACGCCACCCATGCCCATGCCACCATGCCACGCCACCCATGCCCATGCCACCATGCCATGCCACCCATGCCCATGCCACCATGCCATGCCACCCATGCCCATGCCACCATGCCACGCCACCCATGCCCATGCCACCATGCCACGCCACCCATGCCCATGCCACCATGCCACGCCACCCATGCCCATGCCACCATGCCACGCCACCCATGCCCATGCCACCATGCCACGCCACCCATGCCCATGCCACCATGCCACGCCACCCATGCCCATGCCACCATGCCACGCCACCCATGCCCATGCCACCATGCCACGCCACCCATGCCCATGCCACCATGCCACGCCACCCATGCCCATGCCACCATGCCACGCCACCCATGCCCATGCCACCATGCCACGCCACGACGCCATGGCAGGTGGGATTCCTGATAGGCGGCCAGCTGTACAGTGTGCTGCTCATCGAGCACGCCGTGCTCAGAGCCTGCACCCACAAGCCCTACATTGTCAGTCCCAATCACCCATCTGCTCTCACCGTGCCATGAAATCAAGCATATCTCAGCCGTCCTTCTCCTTTGACTGCTCGAGTAGTGAAGCGTCCATCTTATGTCCTCGTGCTTCAGCCTCCACATTATCTTCCTTCCACCCCCACCTGCTCTCATCACCCCTCACCCCCCCTGCTCCCCCGGACCATCTCCCCTGCCCGCCCCCATCAGATCCGCGCCCTGCCCAGCACCACGTTCCGCCCCGGCGATGCGCGCGCGCTCTGTGTGCTGGAGCGCGCCGAGCCCCTCGTGTCCTTCGCCCTCTGCTCCGGCACTCGCTCCTCGCCCTCCGTCAGTGCCCCATTCCGCTCCTCCCCGCTGCTCTCCCTTTTTCTCTTTAGCTGCTCTGCCGCTGGCATCCAGACTCTTGCTGCCTCCACCTCCGTTTGCCCGGCCCACATGCCATCCCTGCCCCCCCCCACCGTCCACCTCACACACTCCCCCTCCTACTCTCCCACTCCCACCGCCACGCCTTCTCCCTTCCCCCTCAGATGCGAGTGTACCGGGCGGAGAGTGTGCAGCAGCAGCTGCGCGGCGCCATGGTGGAGTACCTGGGGGCGGCAGTGAGCGTCAACGAGGCCAATAAGATCATCATCCCCAAGCTGCTGCACTGGTGAGATCATCATCCCCAAGCTGCTGCACTGGTGAGATCATCATCCCCAAGCTGCTGCACTGGTGAGATCATCATCCCCAAGCTGCTGCACTGGTGAGATCATCATCCCCAAGCTGCTGCACTGGTGAGATCATCATCCCCAAGCTGCTGCACTGGTGAGATCATCATCCCCAAGCTGCTGCACTGGGGACTCTCGTACTCGCTCACCAGATTGGTCCCCTCATTCCTGTGCCACCAATCTACATCGAAATCATTCCTGTGCCACCAATCTACATCGAAATCATTCCTGTGCCACCAATCTACATCGAAATCATTCCTGTGCCACCAATCTACTCTATCCAACATGCCAACACATTCCATTACCCCATAACCTGCCTCCTCCCTCCTTCCCTCCCTCCCTCGTTCTCGTGTCCGCCTTCTCTCCCAACGCCAGGTACCTACCGGACTTTGCACCGGACGTGTGGAGTCTGCTGGAGTGGCTGGCGAACGTGCTGCCCACCAACCAGGCCGTCGTGCTCATGAACTGCCTGCCCACCGGCGCTGCCAACGTCTCCGCCTCCAAGTGTGTCGTCGTGGCGCCCTTTGACTACCGCTTCCGCTACCTCATCCCCCCCGTCCTGCCCAACTAGTGCTCCCCGCCCGCTCCGCTGCTGCCTGTGAGGAGCGGCAGGAGCATGCCCCTTGTGCTGCCTGTGAGGAGCGGCAGGAGCATGCCCCTTGTGCTGCCTGTGAGGAGCGGCAGGAGCATGCCCCTTGTGCTGCCTGTGAGGAGCGGCAGGAGCATGCCCCTTGTGCTGCCTGTGAGGGGCGGCAGGAGCATGCCCCTTGTGCTGCCAGAAAGGGACGTTCGGTACAACATGCACGTGCTGCCTTGCTGTTCCACACATGGTTCATTTGCACGTGCTAGGCAGTACTGTATGCAGTTGGATGGAGGCACAGATAGGTTCATAAGTTATTGTAGTAGAGTAGCGGACATACGGCAGGTACGTAGGGCTTCACCAAGTGCAGCTCCTTTGTTGTGTGCAGTGTCCACATTACCGTAGTGTGTTTCACAACATGGCATGTGCTTCTCAGGCAAGGCAGCAACAGATCACAGATGAGATTGCTTATTTCAAACTTTCCTGCACTGCTCTGCACACCTCCTAACTGTGCACTTGATGTGAATAGGCAATGACGGCCTGGGATGAGAGCAGGGCAGGGAGCTCTAGGCTTGTGTGCTTACACCAACTAGCATGTGCGTCGCCGCAATTCCGAAAGGCGCAAGTTAGATTTTGTGAATGGCCACACAGCATGACACTGACTTGCACCACACTGACTTGCACCACACTGACTTGCAACACACTGACTTGCAACACACTGACTTGCAACACACTGACTTGCAACACACTGACTTGCAACACACTGACTTGCAACACACTGACTTGCAACACACTGACTTGCACCACACTGACTTGCAACACACTGAATGCTGGGCACAGGTGCATGCAATGCTCATCACTCTAGGCACAGCAGTTCCACATGCACTGCACACGCCTGTCCTGGGGTGAGGCAGCAGTTAGGGGGAGGGGGAGAGGGTCGAGGAGGGGGAGAGCGAGGGGGAAGTGGAGGAACGGGAGGGCGGTGTCCACTCAATGCCGCCCCCCTGCCTCCTCCCTGCACCCTCCACTTCCCTCCCTTGCATCTCCCTCGCTCTCCGCTTCTCCCTCCTTGCTTCTGTGCGCCCCACACCACCCTCCGGGGACCCATGTGCGCTGCTGCCAAGCACAGGCGCCAGAGAGGAGGGAGTGAGCGGGGGGGACGAGGGGCTACCCTCGCTGAGATCGCAACTCTCATCTGACCTCGTACCGCCGCTGCCGCTGCCACTGCCACTCGCACCCACGCTGCCCCCTGTGGCCTCCCTTTGCACCCTTCCCCTCACCGCCACTGCCCCACCTCCCCACCTCCTCTCCCTCTCCCCCTTGTCAGCAAACACAGTGCCTCTGGCTGCACCAATCAGGTCACGGCGCCACACTGCCAGCCCATCAGACGCTGCAGCAGCAGCAGCAGCAGCAGCAGGAAGCCTCTCACTCACCTCAGCCCCTCCCACCGACGGCCCTGCCTCACGTTCTCCTCCTCCCATGCTCTCCCCCCGCCCCTGCACAGCATCACCCCGCATCCCCTCCCTTGCACTGCTCCCCTGCCTGCCTCCTCCCCCCTCCTGCTGCCTGGCTGCCCCTGCCAGCCTCTCCCCCCCCAGCTGCCTGGCGCGCTGCCGCATCAAATATGCCTCCCACGACGACCCCACGGCCCGCCTCACTGCCTCGCTGCCACGTCTCGCTGCCTCCATGCCCCCCTGCTGCACGCCCCTGTCCCCCACGCCGCCCTGTGCCGCGCCATGCAGGGGCATGTGTGTGGCGCCAGGCGAGGGGCGAGCAGAGGGGGCGGACGCGCGCCAAGAGGCAGCAGAGGCGGCAGGCCAGCGGTCAGAGGAGGCGGCACCCGAGGGCCCACGGCCCATGGAGGGCGAACGGGCAGGGTGGTGGGCGTGGGATGCATCATGGCCGTGGTGATGGGTGTGGGTGTGGGAGGGGTCATGGGCATGATGATGCTGGTGACTCCAGGGCGTGGGGCCAGCAGTGTGGATGCGTTGATGCAGCAGCGACGACAAGGACGACGCTGCACCCCCGCCCTGCCGCATCCCATGCCACCCCCACTCCCCTTCCACATCCCTGATGCCGCCCCTGCTGCCATCCACACTCATCCACCACCCCACACCGTCCCCCACCTCCTCGCCCCCCCAGCCCCTATCAGCGCCAGCCCCCTGGCGCGTGTCGACGCCCAGCAGCGAGCCATGGGCCCAGGGGCAGGAGGGGGCAGCATCGGCCTCGGCCTGGGAGGGCAGGCGGAAGCGGCAGACGGGGCACGTATTGGTCTGCGCGAGCCAGGGCAGGATGCAGTCGCTGTGGTACGCGTGGCGGCATGGCAGCTGCTGCGTGACGGCGCCCACGCCCATGTCCTCGTGGCACACCGCGCACGCCGCCACGCCCCCCGCCACGTCCTCCTCCCGCACTATGCGCAGCGGCAGCGCCCGCACCGCTGCCTGCGACGCTGGCGTGTGCGTGCTGGTGGGGGGGGGGCGTGGGAGGAGAATAGGGAGGTCGAGGAGAAGAGAGGAGGAAGCCAAGGAGGGAAAGAGGAGAGGAACGAGAAAGCTATCAGGATACGATAGCCTGCCTGAGGTAGCTTCGTTGCCGATTTGTATCCATCTCACTGTTGCACGCACTAAGGCCCCAGTGGTGCTGAGGGCACGGCAATGCAGGGAGCCACGTGTGTGTGCCATACGTGGGGAGAGGGGAGGGCGGGGAGTGTCACCTGGTGTGAGGCATGGGGTGCGCGGTGGCGATGCGGTCAACGAGCGCGCTGAGGTCGTCCCCCAGGAAGTAGTCGCCCACACGGCCCGTGAACTCGCCACGCCCACCACCGCCTGCCGCTGCCGCTGCCGCTGCGTCGGATGCAGCGACGTGTGGCGGAATGCCGTCGTCGCTGCTTTCATCGTCGCTGCTCTCGTCACTGCCCGACGTCTGCCACGCCAGAATGGGTAGGTAGGTAACACAAGACTTGGTACAACAAGAATGAGGGAGAGGCGAGGGTGGAGGCACGGCACGAGGAGCCAAGTCTTGCAACACACATGTCACTCACTACACCTCCCTCCACCCCGTCCGTCCCCTACGCGCACCTGCTCCTGGGCGATGTCGCTCATCGGCGCGCTTCTCGCGCGCAGCTGCGCGGTGGCGACCTCCAGGAACGACGACTCCTGCCTCATGTCGCGCAGGAAGCGCGCCAAGCCGTCCTCGCCGTCGCCGTAGTCGCCGAACACGCCGCCCGGCGACTCCCTGCGACCGCTCGTGCGATGCTGCGAGCCCAGAGGAAGCACGTCGTTGAGCGAATTGAGCGACTCTAGGGCGACGCGGCGAGAGGCGTCGCGTAGTCGACGTGGGGAGCGGCCTGTGCGGGTGGAGGCCACGCCGCCGTCGGATGGGGATGGGGAGGTGGGGGGCGACGCGGCCTCACGCGCAATGGCGGCGCTTCCGCCGATGTCGGGCGACGACGACCGCGATGACCCCGCGTCGGCGCGCAGGCGTTGGGAGCGGTGAGCGAGAACGCTGCGCATGTCCGCCCAGGCGTCGGCCAACGAGAGGTCGGCACGCGCGCGCGACGAGTGGAGCGCGTTGGGCCCGGCGAGCGCGGCCGCGGGGAGCTCCTCGACGAAGCCGCCTCCGCACGCCGGGCAACGTGGGCCGGCCATGGCGGGCTCGAAGAGAAGGCCGCCTATGGAGGCGACGGTCGCACACTGATGGCACCAGTAGGTGCGCGACGATGGTGAGGACGACATGGTGGCGGTCGCGGAGGAGAGGAGAGAAGGAAGAATGCTACTCGCGTGAGTCACTCGCTATGTTGACTGAATTCCATGATGCTCGCTGGACAAGGCGAGTTCATTCACGCTATTCTATGTGACGAGGACGACGGCTGGGACACGAGACGATGCACTGGAGGCATGGCCAGAAGACATACATTCGCCGAAGGATGGAGCAAAACCAATGAATGGGATGGAATGAATGGATGGTTATCGAAGTGAGACCCTCATGCCCAAGCACTCTGCTCTTGGGGGGGAAGAGAATTTCGCTTTACCCAAGGTTCATCCAACCGACCCCCATACCAGCATTCAGGGCGGGTCATACTTTTTTGTTCTGGGATCGTTTGACGTGGTTGCAAACGGTCAACTACGTCTGGGTACGGTTATTGACTTTCACCGCTTTAGACCACTGCGCACCAGGATGAACCATTTAAAACGAACCTGGAACAAAAAAGTATGACCCGCCCTCAGAGTGTCACGAATCCGACGGTCAAAGAGATCCAAGCTGGTATTCCAAACGCGTCATCTAAGGTCACAGTGCGCTCTCCTGTGGGACATCCAGACCATCAATTGCGGTGATCCGTCCGATTAAAGCCCCTCTCCTGACTATTGAGACGAAGCCCAGTCCGAGCAACTCGCACCCCTACCAACCTTGGGCAAAAACAGTGACTGTATCTTCCGCAAGCGTTTCAACATTCACCTTCATGTACAGCAAGTGCAAGTGTTGCTATAACGAATTTGACTACAAGGCTTCCCTGCTTATATTGCTAATATTGCTAGGCATCACCTAGAGAGATGAGCATATGCCTCATATATGTTCAAGTTTACCTACTCTGAATGACGGCAGATATTTCAAGGCGACCTTGTTGTCGCTGACATTGTGCGATCAAATGCATCCATGCTGCAACAAAGGAAGCAAGCTTATTAGCAACAAGAATGATAACTACGAAATTGCACACTATACATAACCAGAAACGGTGCACACAAATAAGTGCTGAACCTACCTGGCCCTGCGACCACTGCTTCCCAGCAGTATCTGGCTGCTGCTGTTAGCTCGCATCATGGCCTTGTGTGGAATCACAGGCCCCTTGCCGCCTCTCCTCGCTGATGATGCAATGCTCTCCACGTCGTCACGCTCTGCTGTGCCACCATTACAAAGGGCACGTTGCATGACAGAATCCTTACATCGCATCACGTATAGCTGTTACACTGCAAAACAAAATGCATTACACATCCCTGGACAGTGCTTGACACAATGTATGACACGTTACAAGAAACGTGGGGCACACCAGCGCACAAGCCCATCAACAGCCATGGGAACCCATGGTGCAGGTGCAGTAAGGAAGGGCCATGCAAGAGAACGGCACTGCCATTTTGGATCCCATCACTCGCCCTCTTTCACTCTCACCCTCCACCCTTACTCCCCATCACACCCTCCCCCCACCTGCGCCGGCGCCTGCGGCAGCGTCATGAGCCTTGGCGGCGGACTGGAACTGCTTCTGGTCGGGGATGACAATGGCGGCGTCGATGTTGTCGGGCAGCCCGCGGTGCCGCGCCAGCAGCATCACCAGCACCATCACCACCTTCGCCTCCGTGCGCCACACGCCTGCCCCCACTCACGCGGGGGTGAGGGGAAGAAGGAGAACAAGAGGAAGGGGTTGAGTGAGGTGAGAAGTGGCTGGATGGGGTAGAGAGAGCAGCAGTGGGGGTAGAGTAGCAGCAGGGCACAAACTGACCTGAGAAGCTGTAGGGCGGGGAGACACAGCCGGCGGGGGCGTCTTCTGGACAGGTGTAGCCGAGAGAGAAGCCCACGTTGCCATAGCCACTGCAATGGCATGCATGCACGCATGTACAGGGGACACACATACACACATACATTCGTACACACGATGCACACAGACAGGCACTCAGATGACACCCACACCCACTAGAAGGAGTACAGCACACATACATTCGTAAAGGGAGGACGACTGATGCGAGAGGCGTAGGCATGGCCGTCAAGGAACACTGCAAGTAGGAAAAGGTGTGATTGACTCAGCTGCCAGCGTGGCATGCCACATGGCACATGCCACAACCACATGGCAGGCAAGCACGGGGCATGGGGCAGGAGGCACAGGGCATGGCGCGGGTCATGGGGCATGGGGCGGGGGGCATGAGGCGGGGGGCATGGGGCGAAGGGCATGGCGCGGGGGGCATGGGGCGGGGGGCATGGGGGGGGGGGCATGGGGCGGGGGGCATGGGGTGGGGGGCATGGGGCACGGAATAGGGGCCATGGGCCATGGGGCGTGCCTCATGATTTCGAAGATGATATTGAAGATGGAGAAGTTGGCGGGGTCGCTGGTGATCATGGGGCTCTCCATGATGCAGACGAGGAAGATGGCGAAGAAGATGAGCGCGGTGTCGTGCAGGAAGAGCTTCTTGCCCTGCGTGAGCACACCCGGGTCCAGCACACCCTCCTGCAGGTCCTCGTAGAACACCCCGATGTCCTCGTCGTCGTACACCTCGCGCTGCTCCCTCGACGTCTGCCGCGCCAGGTACACCGGATACACTGCCACGTTCCTGCGAAGGTGGAAGGGGGGGAAGGGAGGGGAGGGGGGGTAAGGGGAGGAGGCATGGCATGTGAGCGCAGGGAGCAGTGCTGCGCTGCGTGCAGTAAAGCATGTCAGATGGCACCATCCTGGCATGTGGGGAAAGGGCCGAGGCACAACAGCCAGGCAGAAAGCAGTTCACAGGGCACAGAGGCATGCATGATCCAGGGTGGGCGGACTGACATCAAACCGATGTAGAGCACGAGCATGGGTGGCGAGAGCAGAGCGAGGACGACGGCGTTGTAGCCTGTGGTGCGCGTGCAGATGGACTGGAAATACCCCACCAGCACCTTCGTGCTGCCTGCTCGCCCCCCCACACACCCGCACACCGCAGCCGCAAAGGTGGGGCGGGGAGAGGGGGGGAAGGCGAGGGGGGATAAACTACTGTCAGAATAGCACTGTCGTGGAAGTGACAAAGCAGAGGGTGCAGTAAACATTCTTGTCGGACTTCCCCATCCCCAACTGTACAGTACAGCCTGTGAACCGCCCTAGGAATGCGTGAGATGACCTGACAGCACAACACAGCCCATGGCCCCCCATCCCACGTGCTTGCCATGCCACATTACACACTCCATTGGGCCACGTCGACTTCCAGTCCAACACACTCAGGGCAATGGATTCAACCACTGTGTTCAAAAAAAAAAAAAAAAAAAAAAAAAAAAACAGCACAATTGACCCCTTCCCTTGCCCTTGCCATCCCCCCTGGTTGCAGCACGCACTGGAGAGGCCGTCGAGGGCGGTGGAGTGCCAGTCGAAGACGCAGAAGAAGATGAACTCGATGCTGTTGAACGCCACCACCGTCGCCACCAGCCACAGCGTGGACGAGCGCGGGAACAGGTGCGTGTAGCACTTGCGTGGATGCTGCAGCAGATACTCGTACACCACCTGGTGGGCGGAGCACGAGGGCGCAGGAGGGGGAGGGGGAGGGGGAGGGGGGGTGGGGAGGGGAGGGGGGGGGGAGAGAGGGGGAATGGAAAGAGGAGTAGGGGATGGCGGAGATGTGATGGTGGGGAGCGGAGCGGATCGTGGTTGTGGCATTGCAGGAGGCGTCGTCATGGCGCCGGTGGTGAGTACGGCTTGTGTGGTGGCGGCAGGAGAGTGACAGGTGACACGCACGGTGGGTGTGAGGGGACGAGGGAGAAACGGAGTGGGCGGTAGCAGCTGGCACCTTCTGCTCGCCCTTGGCGGTGCGGTGCAGCAGCAGCAGCAGGCCGCGCAGCGTGGGGGCGAAGAGGGTGTTGCCGAGGAGCATGAGGAGGGAGAGCAGCAGCAGCATCGGCACGTTGCTGTTGAAGTCCATCATGTTGCTGTTGAGCAGCATGAGCCCCGTGTTGCTGAACGCTGACACCACCTGCCCGCACCGCACCGCACCGCACCGCATGCACCCAGTTGGGGGGAAAGGAGTGTGAGGGGGAGAGAGAGCAGGATGAGATGGGTGGAGGGAGGAGAGGAGCAGGATGATAGTTAACAGGGCAGTGGTGATGAGGGGCAGTGGTGATGCCGTGCGGGGCAGTGGTGATGACGTGTACAAGAAGCTTCATGCAGCGCAACAAATGCAGCGCAAACGAGCAGCACAGATTGCATACGGTGCGGCAGAGAGGGCAGAGGAGGGAGGTGGCGGGGAGGGCAGAGGAAGGGGCCGGCAGAGAGAGCAGAAGAAGGGTGGGGGGGAGAGAGAAAGGGCACCTGGAAAACGGAGAAGAAGACGGAGTTGACGCTGTTGCGGTCCAGGACCTGCCTGACAGAGGGCGACACGTGCACGAGCACGAGCATGAGCAGCACCGCCACCGCCTGCACCACCAGGAAGTACACGGGCACCAGCCAGCTCAGCAGCTCCAGCGCCCTGCACCGCGCACACGCGCACACGGGCAAGAGGTGCAGGAGGTAGGGGCGGTGGACGGATGACCAGCGGGGAGTGGGAATGAGCGAGGGGACGTGATGAAGCAGGATTGGATGATGCCAGTGCAGTGCAGAGCACAAGAGCCATGAGCTCGTCATACAACAGCTCGTATCAGCTACCAATTTCCCCAGTAACCTCCCACTCCCACATCTCTACTTCCCGATCCCTGCCCTGCCCACCTCAGTTCCAGGAACCTTCGTTCACCCGGGTCAATGGGCAGCAGTTCAGCGTCAGCGTTAGCGCTAGTCCCCTCAATGTCGTCGGTGCGCCAGGTGCTGGACGAGAGGGTGCGCTGCAGGAACAGCCCCGGCCGCTGCTCGCTGTCGCGCTGCTGCTGCTGCACGCGCATGATCTCCAGCGCCAGCTTCAGCCGCTGCCCCTCCGCGCGCGCCACGTCCCCCGACCACGTGTGCCACGCGTTCTCCTCCCCCGCCTGGTACCGCCCCGACAGCGGCCCCACCGTCCGCTCAAGCGCGTCCCCCAGCCCGAACGCCCTCCGCGGAGTCAATGTTGTGCGCGTCTGTGCGCCCCGCGGACTGTCCCACATGCGCCGTTCTCCATCCCACCGCGCCGACCGCGGCCCGTGCTGGCTGCTGTCCAGCCGCAACGCGTCCACGTCAGCGCGAGCAGATCTCGGACCATTCTGGCTGGAGTCTTGCCGCGTGGCGTCCACGTCGGACCCCGCTGGAGCATCATTAACGGGAATCACGAGAGCTCCGTCCCTCCCTCTGCTCGTGCTGTGAGACCCAATCGGGGACACCTTAGCTGGGTCGCTATGAACGTGGGTCACCTTGCCTCCACCCACCGCTACCGCACCTGACTCCTCTGTCTTGCTGCCGGAGGGAGCATTATCGCGAGCGTCAGCAGCCTTGTCGTCCTCCGATACGCGACGCTCCTCCTCCTCCAACACCCCCAGACCTTCCCCGCCAGCCTCGGTCATCCCATCCACCCCCCCCGCATCCACGCTGCGTACTGTCACGACGGGTTCGCTCCGCCGGCCGCCGCGCGTGACGTAGCCCTCGCGGTAGAGGTAGCGGTGGAAGAAGAAGCGACGGACGTACACGGGGACGAGCGACGTCGTGATCTGACTGCCGATGATCATCAGCAGCAGACGGAAAACGTTAGCTCCGTCAGAAAACATGTTAACGTCAACGCTAATCATTCCAGTCAGGCACGTGGCTGACGTCACGCTGTACAGCGTGTCAATGAAACTCATTTTGCCGGCCGGGCCGCCCGGAATCAGGCACATGATGATCGTGCCGATGAGGATGAGCACGACAAAGCAGGCGACGTGGAGGCGGTAGAAAGTGACGTGGCGGCGGAACCACGGAGGAAGCTTCACGCTGAAGGCCCAGTCAATCCATGACCGTTCGACCTCGTGCCATCGATCGACGGAGAAATATTTGCGGATGGACGCTGCGACGGCCGACAGCCGCTTGCTGCTCATCCATGGGAGAAGACGCCATCTTCCGAGCGAAATCGTCTCGCGGTCGCTCGCAGCTCTTCCTGATTTCTGCGATGAACGAGCGTCAACATCATCTGACGGTTCAGACGACGATCCTTCATGACCGCGACGGCCATCCGCTTCCCTGGTTTCACAGTCGTTGAAGTCTGCGACGTTACTATTCGGACATTCATCGCGCGCAGCCTCCGTCGCTTCTACCATAGCCTTCGGCGAAGGATTCAAGGGGCTGACTCGTCTCCTACCACTCGTCTCTGGCGTAACGGGTTGATGGTCTGCCATGATAACCCGCGAGGCAGCCAGCGACTGGCGGCTTCGGGCGAGTGGAGAGCAGCCAACAGATGTCAGTGTGCGGCCATGGATTGCACCAGGCCCTGCTAACTTGTCACTTGAGTAGCTACCACAGAAACTTTAGATGCTACCAGGCTGACGAGCAGTGGGGAGGAACTCAGTCGGTCATGCGAGCGAACAGAGGCATCGGGAATCTGGGATTCGGGAGGGGGCTGCGGTACACCCTGTTTCGCGCTAGCAGAGCATCTGGTTGCAGAACATGCACTGGTTGTAGAACGTCACCACGTTTGAAATGGTCTTATCACCGACGGTACAAGCACATTCACAAGAAAGCGGTTAGCTAGGATGCTGCATGGTAAAGAACATTAACCAAGCGTTTCAAAGCGGTTGAAAAGGGTATACAGCGATAAAGAAAAATTTTGCCCCCAGTACCACTCCGTCAGCTGGTGCGGCTTTGCCCGCAGGTTTCAGCCATACGGTTTATGGCACCTGACCGCACTGTAGCAGCGAATCGCGCAAGGTGAGAGGGTCGAGAAACAGGGTGTAGTCGGTCAAAAGTGTTGGAGGGGGCTCACCAGGGCCAAGGATATCAGGGCGTTTTACCCTGTTTGCCCTGCATTTCAGGGTGAAATTTTGGACCCACACTGCTAGAACTGGGTTTGGCTGGGCGTCCACCCTGTCATTGTCAGGCAGGGCTGAAAACACACCCTGCAAATGATGTTTTACGCTTATGTGCAACACTGCCTTTTCCCGGCTGGTTACGGCAGACACCCTGCCAACTTTTCCTCTTTTGTTGAACTTTACTAACTGCGCGGCTATTCCTCTAAGTAGCGTTTGTGAGTGAAGCTCCAGAATTGGATAGTACTTGAAACACCAGAGATTCAGCTCTAGCACGGTGAGTGGCGTTTGTGACTGAAATGTGTCCAGTAGCGTTTGTGACTGAAATTCCAGAATCGGCTAAGTACTTTCAACACCATAGATTCAGCTCCAGCACAGAGAGGGGCGCGTTTTAGTAGTGACCGCACCTAGAAGACCCACCGACAGGCCTCTCATCTCCCCACCTACACCACTAAAACCTCAACCACCACGCACTTACGCATAGTTGTCGACCACTTAGAATCGAGCCAGGAAGACCCGGTTCGACAAGATTTTCTGGCTTTTAGGAATCATCGATATGGCAGGTTCGACTGGTAGACCTAAAAGTTTTAGCTAGGCAGTGTTTTTGGATTTCTCACCCTGCCAGATTCGACCTCGAAAAAAAAATCACACTGCCATTTCTTGGGTACGACCGCCAAGGCACACTGCAGAGGCAGGGTGTAACGGGTCACACACAACTCGGATCAGGCAGCGTGCCCCAAAATGAATCGAGAGCCCTGGGGCTCACTCAGGGGAAGGTAGCGTCGCACGGGAAACCATGTGCGACTGGTATTGGAGGGTGCCTTGTTGGAGGGGGCTCACTCAGGGTGGTAGCATTCGCCCGTTTTCCCCTGAGAATTCAGGGTTCGTGAAAACTCAGCACAGAGTTTTCAAGGCTGGTTTTTTCCTGGCCCGTATTCCTAACGGACGGGTTTGGAGCCTTCTCCGGATTTCCCGTGTACCTGCCTTCCCCCCCTCCCCCCCCCCATTCCCACCTTTCTTCCTGACCTTCGACCGTGCACGTGTCCCACTTCTCTTCCTCCCAGCCCTCTCTACCCACCCGCACCAGCGCGCTCTGATCGGTAGAGTGCGTACATAGAGTTACTTAGCTTTCTGGCGCATGTGGCTCAGGGCAGGAATCCAAATGGCCTGAATTTCAGGGCTAGATTCGACTGCTGTCCGGATGTTTCAGGGCTTGTTTCGGGCCAGCTCAGCTTCGTAAGGTTTGGGCCCAGACCAAGCGACAGCCCTGCTGGTGAGCGTCGCCAAGCGACGCCCAGTCGCGTCGTTCGTCAACCACAAGTCAGGCCGAATGGCAACCTCGAGGGTCCTTTTTCTATCGCCGGCTAGTCTCCTGATTGGTTTGATGGCGTCAGGCTGTCAGTACAGCACACCATTGTTCAGAGGAGCAGAACCTGTCTGCGCAATGCAAATCCAGTGTCGGTTACTAGATTTGGATCATCATTACAGCCTAAAATGCTTACTAGTCAACTCAATTCGGTCAAGACACCATATCTTTCAGCAAAGCCAATCCAGGCAGCAGTGTTCCCACAACTTCCAATCCAATGCCAAGGCTAATGCAGCCACAAATAATAAACAAAAACCAGGCCCTTGTGGGAAATCGGCACAGCACCAGCCATGGGTTGGAACTAGCTTCCAATGCGGTGGTAGAATAGCAGATAGGCTTCGCAGCGCAGCACCCGCTCCAGGGTCGTTGCCTGGGCGTGCGTGTCACTGATGTACCACCACTGCCCACCCTCCCATCCCCCACTCTCCCCTGCCTGCTCCAAACACACCTTTCCCAGCACTCCATTGCCCTGTGCAACAACTCCATTGATCTGCCCTGTGACCCCGTCACCCTCTGCCCCACCTGTGTGCACCAGCTCAGCTCCGCTGCATGCACCCACCTCTGAATCCCCACTGCTTTGCACATCCGCTCCAGCCCCTTGCTGCTGCTGCTGCCAGCCGCGCCGCACAAAAGCCACATAATGCCCGCCCCGCATCGTGCCACTGTGCTCCACCACCCCACATAGCCGGTACCGGTGGGACTGACTCTGGGCCTGGGCCTGGGCCTGGGCCTGGGCCTGGGCCTGGGACTGGGACTGGTCCTCCAACACATGATTCAATGGTGCCCCAGCACCTGTCTGCGTGGCTACAGGCACCTGTGCTGTGTGCGACGGCTTGGGTGATGACCATGACAGTGCTGATGCTGATGCTGATGGTGCGGTGTGCGTGGGTGGGGTGCTGTGCCATGTGCGAATTGGGCGGACACGCGACAAGGGAAAGTAGTCAGGGATGAGTAATCAAGTCGATTGTTACATTGAGCGACAGTATCACGAGCATGAAGAGGAGAGATGGGAGGCAAACATACAAGAAAGGGCATATAAGGGAGGGCGTGCAAGGGAGGGCGTGCAAGGGAGGGCGTGCAAGGGAGGGCGTGCAAGGGAGGGCGTGCAAGGGAGGGCGTGCAAGGGAGGGCGTGCAAGGGAGGGCGTGCAAGGGAGGGCGTGCAAGGGAGGGCGTGCAAGGGAGGGCGTGCAAGGGAGGGCGTGCAAGGGAGGGCGTGCAAGGGAGGGCGTGCAAGGGAGGGTGTGCAAGGGAGGGCGTGCAAGGGAGGGTGTGCAAGGGAGGGCGTGCAAGGGAGGGTGTGCAAGGGAGGGCGTGCAAGGGACGACTCACGGGGGCAGGGGGTCGACGAAGGGGCTGAGGTCCAGCCACTCCCCGAACGCCACGTGGCCACTGATCTTGGAAAGCCTGCCACGGTTGTCGTGGCGGAAGCGCTTGAGATGCACCACCAGCACGGCCGGCTCCCTGCTCACCCGGTACCTCTTCCGAGCCTCGCTGCGCACCCGCACCCTCTCCTCCTCCGCCCCCCCCCTCCTCCTCACCCTCCTCCTCCTCATCCTCCCCTTGTTTGTCTCCTGCCCCACCGCCAGCACCAGCGGCAGCAGCAGCAGCAGGAGGGGCAGGAGCAGCAGCAGGAGCGGCAGGAGCAGCAGCAGGAGCGGCAGGAGCAGCAGCAGGAGCGGCAGGAGAATGAGGCGCATGCTCTACATCTCTGCATTCCACATGACTGCTGTCGTCAGTGCCACTAGAAACACCTACTGCTGCCACGCTGCCTGCGGCAGGTGCATCCTTTGCTGCAGGATCAACGTTTTCTGCAGTCGCACCGTTTTCTGCAGTCGCACCGTTTTCTGCAGTCGCACCGTTAGCTGCAATCGCGTTGTTCCTTTCAATCCCATCATTCGCAGAGCTATCTACAGCGCTTGCATTTGATGCCAACACCACATCCTCGCCACTCACCTTCCCCACACCCTCTGCCCCTTCTCCCGCCGCCCCTTCAGCATCCACCACACCACTACCTTCTCCGCCCTTCCCTCTCCTTCCTCGCCTCTCCTCCCTCCGTCTGCGCCTCGCTTCTCTCCGTCTGATGGCGGTGCACCCATCACAGCCCCAAGCATCGTCCCCGCGCAGCACCTCCTCGGCGCTGAACTCACACAGACACCCCTCCACTGACATGCGCGCCGCTGCCTGCTGCTGCTTCTGTTGTTGCTGCTGCGGCAGCTTTTGCTGCGGCTGCGGCTGCGGCTGATCTGACAGAAAGCCCACCCTCCGCCCCTTCCCTTTCTCCGTGCTCACGCTCACAACGCCACCCTTCTGTGCGCCCGCTGCACTGCTGCTGCTTGCCACACTGCCACCCATACTGCTGCTGCCCATGGCACTGACGCTGCTGCTACAGCTGCTGCCACTGCCGGCCTCTCTGCTGGAGGGTTCAACCCCACTGCAGGCGCCGGTGACTGTGCTGTTGTCAGCCTGCCTCGCACTCCCATCCCTGTTCCCCCCCTCTTCTCTCACCCTCTGCTCCTCCCTGCCCTCACAACTAGCACCTCTCCCCTCACCCCCTGTCTCCTCAGCAGCCCGACCATCAACTGCACTCCCTTCAGCACCCCTCCCCTCAGCAGCCTTTCCGTTCACACCAGCGCCACTGCTGCTGGTCTCGCCACCATCCCCTGCGGGCGCCTCTCCCTCTGCACGCGCCTCGCCTGCATGCACTTCTCCCCCTTCCACTGCTGCTCCCTGTTGTTCCTCTTCCACACCACCACCTGTCACACCACCTGCCACGCCACTTGACCCGTCACCCGCCAAATCACAAGGCACTGCCGCTTCCTCACCATTCTCAGCACCCGCTTGCGTTGCTTCCACCTCCCTGCTGCTGATACTACTGTTACCAATGCTGCTGCTGTCGCTGTTACCATTGCTGCTAATGCTGCTGCTACCATCACTGCCTGCGCCAGTCTCTGTGCGTCCTTCACTCGCCTCCCCATCACCCACATTCCCTTTCACCCCCTCCGCCGCCCTTCCCTCCCTTCTCTCCTCCCCCTTCCCCTCTACCTTCGCCTCCCCGCCCTCTGCCGCCCCCCCTTGGTCACCCCGTCCCTTTTTCCCATCTCTCTTCTCTACGGCCGTCCACTCGCCCAGCCCCGCGCCCTTCAACCCCACGTGCCCCTTCCTGCTGCTCTGCACTGCCACGTGCGCGCGGGGGGAGGGCGGGGGGGCGGCAACGGGGATGGGGAGGGAGAGGTCGAGGAAGGGCTCGCTCACAGTGGACGAGTGCCCGCACTCGCAGCACACCACCGTGCTGCTCAACACCCCGCCAAACAGCCTCTCCACCACACTCAACCTCTTCACATTCTCTCCCCCTCCCCCTCCGCGTCCCCCCTCCCCATCCTGCCCTGCCTCCGCCCCATCCTCGTCCTCCTCCTCGCTTTCCTCCTCGCCCCGCTCTTCTTCCTCCCACCCCGCTCCCCCACCGCCCGCCTCCTCCGCGCTCCCGTCCCCCTCCAGCCATCCCAGCCCCATGCCGTCTCCGCCCTCCTCCCCCCGCTCCTCCCTCAGTCGCTGCACCTCCTCCGCGGCAGCGCCCCCCTCCACGCGCCTCAGCCGCGCTATCGCCTGCCCCAGCCCCGCACTCAAGTCCCCCATTGCTCCCAAACCGCCCAGTCTCTCCGCCTTCCCCCCGTCCTTTTTCCTCCCTGCCCCTCCTGCAGCGTTCGCTGCAGGGAGGGATGGGGGCGGAGGGGGAGGCGGCGGGGCGGATGAGGGAGGAGGGGGAGGCGGCGGGGCGGAGGGGGGAGGAGGGGGCGGGGGCGGAGGCGGGGTGGGAGGAGGGGGAGGTGCGCGAGGGGAGGCATCAGCACGAGGCGGGGGCGGGGGAGGAAGCGGGGGAGGGGGCGGGGGAGCAGCGGATGCAGCTAGACGTTTCTTCTTGCGGGCAGCAGCAGCGGCGGCAGCAGCAGTGCCGTCCTCCTCCTCCTGCAGCAGCTGCAGCAGGCAGCGCAGCAGCTCGTGACTGTCCTGCTGCTCGTACCCTCTGAACCGTGGCGCCTGCCTGCACACCGCACCAAACAGCTCTCGCGGATTGTAAGGCGGCGCTTTCCCCCCCCTGCCCTCCGCCTCATGCTGCTGCGCCCGCTTTCCCCCGCCCCCCTTGCCATGCTTCCCCCCCGCGCCCCGCTTTCCTCCCCCCCCCGCGCGGGCTGTTGATCTGCGCGAGTGGAGCACCTTGCCCTTTGCCACGTGGCCGCGCGGACTGCAGATGCTTTCTTCTGATCGGCTGCCTGGGGCAGCTGCATCAACGGCACCAGCGGCATCAGAATCAGCAGCAGGCACGAGGCCCGGGTTCAAGTCTTCAAAAACACGCCTCAGGGCCATTCCAATGGGCCCCTTGAATCTCCTCTTCGTCCCCCCCACCTTCACTCCTCCCCCCTTCCGTCCCCCGCCAACCTTCCCCTCTAACCCCTCCTTATCCCCCCCATCCGCGTCCGCACCTTCATTGCCCCCTCCGCCATCGCCCCGCCTCTCTGTCCCCGTGTCCGCCAGAGCAGGTGCCTCGACACGTGGCAGCTCCGGATTGGCGAGGAAGTGGTCTCGGAGCGCGGGGATGGCGACGAGGTTCTGAAGGACGGAGTTGAAGAAGCACGTGTTGCCCAGATTGCTCAGCCCGCGCACCGGCCCCTCGACCCCCGCGCCCGCTTGCCTCTCAACCTCCCCCTCCCCTTCCCCATCTCCACCCTCCCCCTCCTCCGCCTCCTCCTTCTCTCCCTCGTTTGCTGCCCCCCCACCTTTCCCCGTTCCGCTCTTCTTCTCTCTCCCTTTCGCAGCAACCACCGCACCCCGCCCCTCCTTCGCCTTCCCTCGCCCCTCCCCTGTCTCCGTCGCTCCCTCCTTCGGCCCCCCTTTGCTCTGCTCCGCCGCCTTAGCGCGCGCCACTTCCGCGCGCCTCTCTGCCAACAGCAGGAGGAACTCGCGGAGCGGATGGTCCAAGGGGAGGCTTTGCGCCCATGGCGCGCCCCCCTCAGCAACACTATCCCCAGCAGCACTCCCCCCTTCACTCGCATGGGTGGTCGCAGCATTCGCTGACGTGTCACTCCGCACCTCTCCCCCTCCCGCCTCCCCCTGTCCCTCCGGCTCCTCCACGACCGGAGTTTCTTCCGTTTGCGCGCACTCGACGCCATCCGCCTGCGCGCGCTCGTCGCCATCGGCGCGCAGCAGCACGCAGCGGTGGCAGCGGAAGCACCAGACGCGCAAGGACTGCGCGTGCGCCATCAGCGCGTGGCTCTTCAGCTGGCTCCAGTGCTGCTGCGCGTGCCCGTAGCCGCTCTCCCGCGCGCCAGCGCCCTCCCCATCCCTTCCGCCATAACCTTTCCCTGTTTCCGCATCCCCTTCCGCCATTTTCGCATCTCCGCAAAACCCCCGCGCGCACACCAGGCACACCCAGAGCGACTCATCTGCCGTACCCGTTATAGGCGTCGCGTGCTCCTTCTTCTTGCTACTAGCCAATCGGTGGCTGTGCTGGCTGCACGGATCGCACGCATCCACGTGGCGCTTCTTCAGCTCGCGAGTGAACTTCTTCAGATCTAACCCCTTGTGGTGATGACACGTGGCAACGCGAGCCAACGACTCGTCCTCTTCCTCACCCACCATCGCATCATTCGCCAAAACTTCCGATCCAGGAATACAACCAGCCGAAGCTGCTTGCGACGAATCGGCATCACTGGCGCTAGTTTGAAACTCAGTTGCCTGCGTGGCACTGTTTGATTGGTCGTTACACGTTGACGTGGCACTCTCAGCTGCTGCGGACGACTCACCAGGTGTCCGCGCAGGTGCGGTTTGACCTGCCGCCTTGGCCTTGCGTTGTTGCTTCCGCTTCGACATCGCGGCCGCTGAGCGGCCGTCGTCGCAGCGACGAAGTCCCACGGCGACCGCGACTCAACTTGCCTGGTCAGGACTGTCCTACAGGTAGAGTGGTGTGGTGGACCTAGAAGGGATGCACAATTACAGGAATCCGCTGATCATGGAACTGAGTGGTCGAGTGTGTTTGGTTGGTGGTCTAGGAATCGGAATCTCCTCCTGTGGTTGTCAAGGTCATCAAAAGTGGCCCCTCGATAATACCGCAACCATACCGAACACGGGAAGCCAGATGCAAGGAAAATACACCGCCTATTACTTTATAATACATGAAATGAAGGAACAAATCCACTTTCATCTCCTTTCAGTAACACATTTACAGATTTATATATCAAACCTGTGGAAGGTGCGCTACCTTCCAGCAAATCATGAGTCGATGCTCCGAGCTGAGCTTTTATTGCCAAGCAAGGGGCTCTCTAGCGATGGCTGGGTGATTTCATCTGACGACTCGTCCAGGTGTGTCGTCAGCACAATGCCGCCCGCAAGGAGAGATGAGACGAGGGGCAGCAGAAAAAGGACCCACCGCACAATAGATCGCGGGCAGGTGGGGCTGGTGGGACCACAAAACACTTCTTTTGCTGCACAGCACAGCACAGCACGTCACAGGACAGGGGTAGAATTAAGAGATTATTACTAATAGCCAATTACATGTTCACTCATGCAGGAAGCAGGCAACAGGCAGGAGGCAGCAAGATGAAACTTGTGTTATGGTTGGGGGCGTGGGAGGGACTGACAGTTGAAGGCCTGGATGGCGACGAGTGCGATGCCGCAGGTGAACTTGTCGAGGAAGGACAGCGAGCCGTATACAAAGGCGCACACCGACACATGCTGCCCCACCAACACCCCCTCCAGACTCGTTGCCGTCACCTGATGGGATGCGGCAGGGGAAACGCATGCATAAAGAGGAGGGAGGAGGAGGGGCACCGGGAAAGCAATTAATGGAGCCACCATAGTGTGGTGGTGGCAGGGTGTGCATTTGCGACTGTGAGCGAAGCAAAAGAACGGAGTGCAACAGCATGAGGGGTAGGGAGGAGGACGTACGAGCATGAGAGCATTGGAGACGCCGACAACGAGCGCGAGGGCGTAGACCACGAGCTCCATGGACGGCCCTGCGTCCACATAGAGGAAGGCTGCACTCGCCCCCGCCCACAGCACCGCTCCCACGCTGAACGCCACCCTCATTCGCCCCATGTCCCAGTGCAGCTCCTGTGAGGGGGTGGAGATGGGATGGGGATGGGTGGGGAGGGAAGGTGAGGAGGAAAAGGTGTTGCTTGAGGCAAATCAAATGCTGACATGCTCCACGCCACCCTCACTCGCCCCGTGTCCCAGTGTGGCTCCTGTGAGGTGGGGAGGGGGAGATGTGGGGTGGGGGAAGGGGGAAGGGGAAGGACTTGACAGATTGGCGAGGAAGGAGATGGGAGGAGAAGAAGAGCGCAGATACAATGGGCGAGGTGGGGATCGAGAAGAGGTGAGAATGATGGCACTAGTTAGAGTGAGCGAGAGGGAATGAGTTGAAGCAGAGTGACATGAGCAAGAGGGAGAAAGAGGTGTTACCTGCAGCACAACGGAGGTGATGAAGCTGCAGATGAAGATGAGCGCTGGGATCTGATGCGCGCACAGGGGCGCAGTGAGTGGCAGTGGGACGGGCGGGAGCGAGGAGTAGTGAGAGAGGGGGTACAGGGAGGCCGTGTGGCATGGTGCAGAGGGTGGGCAGGGAGAAAGGGAGAGGGGTAGGGGGGAGAAGTGGAGGAGCAATGAATAAGCATCAGCAGGCGGTGAGATGAGGGAATGAGATATCAGGCAATGCGATTCAGCATCGTGGCAAGGCAGTTCCATTGGGCAAGGTGGGCGAGGAGGAAACTCACGGTGGCTTTGGCGGAGGGGTGCAGGCCCAGGTCGAATATGAGGAAGAAGGGCAGCATGGCCTGGGGGAGGGGGACGGGAAGGTTGGGGGGAGGGAGGGAGGAAGTGGGGAGGGAGGGAGAGAGAGTGGCGGTTTAGGACTGGCGTGTGAGATCAATGATGTGTGCGCTGAGCACAAGGGCTTGAATAGAATCAGGGTGCAAGGTTTCTGTTACTTGAAGGCATTGCTTTTACCTGGAGACAGATTGCTGAACCGATATAAACACTTGCTGACTTGGGAAATACTAGTGCTTTGTTTTCTTCCTAATTTGGGACATATTATTGTTTCCTAGCTGACCTGAGAGACGTTGGTGATGAGTCGCACGAACATGTAGACTGCCGCCACCTGGAAGTATGCCAGCTGGCGGAACCAGAACAGCCACGCTGGCACTGCCTTCTCCGCTTCCTCTGATTGGCCGTTCTTGGCTGCCCACTGCTGTAATTGGTCGGTGCTGTCGTCGGCGGATTGGTCAGTGCAGAAGGAGCGGGAGGAGGGCAGGCGCACTGGCACACGGGCGACACTGGGGGGGTGGGAGGCGAGGGACGAGGCGAGAGAGGCAAGGCGAAGCAAGGGGCGGATTGGTGGTGGTGCGTACTGATGACGCACATACACATGGCTGTGGGGTGAATAACGCAAGCACGGCATGACAGGGCACGGGATGACAGGGCAGGGCGTGGCACTCACGTGGGCTCGCGCACCCCGGCGTAGAAGACGAGCAGGAAGGCGGCGCCTGAGGTGAGCGCCACAAAGGAGATCCACCGGTACTGCGCCTGCACCTGTGCTTGAAAAGAGACGTGGTGGGCGAACGGGGGAGGGGGACGGGGGGAGTGAGGGGGAAGGGGAAGACATATTGGTACTGCGCCTGCACCTGGAGAGGAGGATGGGAGGGGAGGTGGGGATGGACGCAGCAGCATGTTCTCATGTTGATTCCACTGACATGTTGAAACAGCTCACAAGGTCCAATCGATTGAACGGCACAAGGGGATATTGTTTCAAAAGAACGGTTGCAAAAGAGGTGTGTTGGCGCTACAGCATCCGCATATCAGGGTAGTGTGCGCATGTGGGGGGTGAGTGGTTACGTGTTTTTGTAAATTCTCAAAGGGAGGGCGAGAGCACACCAGGGACGGATCATTTCACCTGGGAGGGGTGGTGGGCACCTGGGCAGGGTCGTGGGCACCTGGGAGGGCGAGAGCACACCTGGGCAGGGTCGTGGGCGGGGAAGAGGGAGAAGGCGGCGAGGGCGATGGCGAAGAGGGCGAGGTTGGCCACCATGGTGAAGGCGTTGCGACAGCTGTTCATCGCCACCCTGCTGCTGGGGTTGGCCGTTAGACAGTTCACCATCGCCCTGGTTGTGAGGGAGGGATTGGGGGGAAATGGGAGCAGGAGGGGGAGAGAGAGGGCGGAGAAGGGCAGGGTTTGGATGGGTGTGAGGGGGCAATGCGGGTGCTGAGGGGGAGGGGGGAGGGGTTGCAAGGGGGTGTGGGTGTGATATGGAAGGAAGGCAGTTGATGTGTGTATGAGAGGGAGAAAGTGGGAGGGTGAAAGCGCGCAGGGGTGCTCTCGAGAACAGAGTTTCTGCACTCGCAAGTAGCATGCTCACACAAGCATTGGCAGGCTCGACTCGTCCCTAATCCCTGGCCAGCAAGCCTGCCTGCCACGCTCACTTGTGTAACACCTGCCAGCCCCACTCACATGTGCGACACCTGCGTGGCGGCCCAGCCACAGTTGAAAACAGCAGCAAAGACGCTGTAGCTGGCGGTTTCAACGAGCGTGGAGTTGGAGGCGAGCAGGCGGCACACGAGGCACCCGCCGAAGACGGAGGAGAAGGACACCACGGTGCACACCGACCCGCCAAAGTGCCACAGCTTGTAGTGCCCAAACCGGTCGATCTGCAGGGGAATGACGGGTGGCAGGGAAAGGAGGGAGAAGCCACAAACGCGCACACACACATCGCATCGTTTACTTGCTGCTACTAACGTTTCTCATAGAAACTATGAGTCTGGGAAGACAAGGGTTGTTGGTAAATTCCCCATCTCTACAACACGAGATGGGAATGCTTTTGGGCTTGCCAAAACGTTCAGGGCTGTTTTGTCTCATATTCGCACCTGTTACGTCCACCGCTCCTGTCCACCCGTGTCTCCCCATGCTACCTCTATCACGACGCTTCCCATGCCCACCATTGCTCCCATTGCAAGCATGCGTGCCCACTATTGCTCCCATTGCAAGCATGCGTGCCCACCATTGCTCCCATTGCAAGCATGAGTGCCCACCATTGCTCCCATTGCAAGCATGCGTGCCCACCATTGCTCCCATTGCAAGCATGCGTGCCCACCATTGCTCCCATTGCAAGCATGAGTGCCCACCATTGCTCCCATTGCAAGCATGCGTGCCCACCACTGCTCCCATTGCAAGCATGCGTGCCCACCATTGCCCCCATTGCAAGCATGCGTGCCCACCATTGCTCCCATTGCAAGCATGCGTGCCCACCATTGCTCCCATTGCAAGCATGCGTGCCCACCATTGCTCCCATTGCAAGCATGCGTGCCCACCATTGCTCCCATTGCAAGCATGCGTGCCCACCATTGCTCCCATTGCAAGCATGCGTGCCCACCATTGCTCCCAGGGCAAGCATGCGTGCCCACTATTGTTCCCTTTGCCAGGAAGCGTGTCACTCACCAGTTCGCCGGCCACGAGGGTGGCCGCAGCATCAGCAAATTGGCCCGACAGCATTACCACGCCCGCCTGCCTGCACGCCCGCGCGTGGACCCAGGGAGCATGCACCAGCGAGGGGCGAGACGGGGACAGGGGTGAGACGAGAGCGAGGAGGAAAAGGAACGGAAGGGAGCTGTCAGGGAGCAAACTTTGCCACCAAGCCAAGCACGCATTGTAACATCCAGAAGCATTCCACGCACCGGCGCTCACTGCCGTTCGCTTGCGCAATTCTGTGCGCTGATTTTTTCTTATGGGAGCTACCAATTTGGTGAGCAATTTTCGCGACAGACCACAGCAGTCTTACTTGCACTAGGTCGTACTTAGGGGGAATGTGTGCGTACTTGGAAGGCCAGTGCAACGTACGTACACGAGCGACCAACGGGACGTACTGAGGGAAGAGGGCGAGGGGACGTACTGCGGGGAGAGGCCGATGTCGGAGAGGTAGATGAGGAGGTAGGTGAACCAGCATGCGGCCGTGATGTCGTTCAGCATGTGCCCCGTACCGTACGCCACCACCTGCCACCGCGGCAACGGCCGCCGGCACGGGCCCAGCGGAAGCACCGCATCGCTTCCGGTGGAGCCTCGGCTGAGCGATGGCTCTAGAAGCGGGAGATAACCGTCCTGGGGGGGATCTGCGCCTCCGTCTGCTGCGGTTTTTACGGCGTCATTTCCGTTGGTTAGCAGGGGAACGACTATGGAGACTTCTGAAGTGGAATCGCGTTGCGACGAGGACGGACCCATTTGCGCTGTACGGAGAGACTGTACGATGTGGTGGGGAGCTAACAGACAGCAATTCGTCACAACAGATACTAGACAGCTAATTGACCACGGATCGACCTAACGCAGACTAATTAATTTCTATGGCGAGAATCAGAAGGCTAAGAAGGTCGCGAGAATTGCTTCTACGAAGGAAAACGGGTCGGAAACTTCACAAACAAGCCAGTTCAACGCATGCTGGCATAATCCTGCCAGATGGGAATGCGAATACTGTTGCTTTTATGCCCACGTTGCGCTGGAGTGACACGTCAGCTGGATCAGCCATGGCCGCCTAGCCAACCAGCCACGAAAAACGCTGTGCTGCTTTCCAGCTTCTCAGACCGCGTCTGCTGTCATCGTCCAGCGCAGATGGGAGCTTGAGGCGCACAGGAGCCTAGAGGCAGCAAATGACTCTGCTGGGTGGGAGGGAGCAAGCTAGAGGCTGTGAGGGACTGGTGGAGGTGAGTGCGGAGTATCCAGACGGACCGTTGGACCTCGGGAATTCATTTGGAACTGCCTTGTTTGCTCTTCGCTTCGCTCGCTTTGGGGACAACTTCAGCTGCAATCTAATTAAGCCAGCGCGGTTTGCAAATGCGATCCCTAACAGTCCGCCTGGAAGAAGCTGATGGGTCGTAATCTGCCCGCGGTCAGAACAAAATAAACCCCTAATGGATGGCATGCGATTAGGGGAGCCCCAACCCTAAACACGGGGAGCCCCAACCCTAAACACGGGCAGCCACGTGGTTCTGCCCGAAAAGATTGCACTCGCAAACCCGCACTGGGAAAATGAGATCGCAGTTCGAATTGTCCGCTCGCTTTGCATATTAGCAGGACGCGGCAAGTACGAACCGTTCCGGAGATGTCAGATGAAACTGAACCCAGCCAGTCATTCATGCTAGTTTCATCTACCGCTGCCATGCTGCCCGTACGTACGCAACACCACCGTACGTGGGGTGTATTGGCGGTCTTGAGGATTCGAGTGCGGCAAATCATCGTCTCGCAACGCGCCCATTGATGGGAAGGAAGGACAACGGTCGGATCGTGAAACGTGGCGCAACGAAGAACCCTGGATGAATTGTGATGGACGTTGGACACTCGTCCTTATGGATGTTAACAGGTACCGAGTACCAAGTGTATAATAGCCATCGCACACGGTGTTTTACGTCGAAGTAATTGTTATCACGAGACTTTTGGCACCAATATTCAACCTACCTAAAGGTGGGCTCTCTCCCACTTCCAGCGGCACCGGAACTGCAGCACTCCACATCTGATGATATAGGAAAGGCAACTTAAACCACTCAAACAAAACAACACAATGATCTAAGCCGTAAGAAACAAATCATGAAAGAACTAGAGCGCACATCAGACCGGGTATGCCGACAAAAACACTAAAATTGGCAGCTTCCAACCACAATGCATCCATTTCAATGGTGATGATGGTGATGGTGGTGCCGAGACTTCTCCCCCACTCCTGCACTGCTCCCACCAGCCACGCCCGACCTACTCCGATGCGTCGAATGCCCGCCCGTGGCCGTGCGAGTGCGGGACGAATGATGAGCCCCACTGCTCGACCCATGGTGAGTCCTGTGGTGCCCATCCTTCGACCCCCCTCCACTCCCCGACCCACTCACTCCTCCTGTCCCAGCCTTCCTGAGCCCGCTGCTGCTGTTCCCGCCAGTGCGGTGCCGTGAGGTGCTGCCACCAGCGGTGCGAGAGGCGGAGCGGGAGGAGTGCCCGTGGTGCAGCTGGGGCGCACTGGCCCCTCGCGCCTTGAGCGGGTCGGAGAGCGCGTCGCGAGACGAGGGCGTCTTGATGGGGCGCTGGTTCAGGTACAGCAGCTGTGGCAGCAGGCCTGGCGGGCAGAAAGGGAGTTTGGGAGAGTGGGTGGTAGAGATGGGCATGAAAGACCCGCGTGCATGCAACAGCCAGCCAGATGCGCACGCACAACAAACAGACCCGAGCCAAGTCTCCTCCCCCCACACGCATCAGCACGCGTGAGCCCAGCCACCCACCCAACCAGCAACACCCCCCAACGCACCAATGAGGTAGCGCTTGAAGGCGTCATCCCCCAGGTTCACATGGATGGGGTTTCCTGCGAGGTTGAGTGCACGCAGCGAGGCGTAGTTGGCGGCGAGCTGGCCGAGGGCCTTGGTGGTGGTGACCTTGTTGGCGCCCAGGTCGAGCACGGTGAGCTTGAGCAGGCGGTGCAGCCCCTCCACCTCGCCCACCCTGTTGCCCGCTAGGTACAGCTCCCTCAGCGCCACACACCCCGACAACCCTGGAAGATGGGACCGAGAGGCCGAGTCGCGGAGGATGAAGGAGAGCAGGGAGGATTTGGAGGGAGAAAAAAGAAGTGTCGAGAGAGGGGAGAGGGGGGACCAAGGACGGATTGAGAAGGCTCAACGACCATAACTCATCACTACCTCTCTGTGTAACCCCCTCACGCCCCCTGCACACAGCACTCAGCCCCCCCTGCACGCACCGTGCAGCCCCCCCCTCCGTGCTGCCTACTCTCTTTCCAAAACCCCCCCTTCCCCACGCGCCAATCCCCCAGTGCACGCACCGTGGCCGATGCGGGCGAGGCGGTTGTTGGAGAGGTTGAGCACCTTGAGGCGTGAGAGCTCTCTTAGCCCCTCCACAGCGGCCAGGCGGTTGTGTGACAGGTCCAGGATGTGCAGCGACCTCGGCAGCACCCCTGTTGCCACCGACGCTGTTGGGATGGACCATGGTGGGGAGTGGGGTGGGGTTGGAGAATTTGTAAGGTCCCCTGTCATGGGTTCTTTCTTGAACCAAAAAATTGTCTCTCCGTATCATCGCTTGACCTTGTCTATGCCTCTTTCAATGGCTTGCCTTATACAGCCCCTTATTCGACAGTCTTAGGTTTGAGGAAGTCTGGGAGTGAGTGGTGTGGTTGGGAGCAGCGAGGTGAGTGGGGGGTAAAAGACCAGGGGCTGCAAAGCAATGCAAGAAGGAAAACGCTGCAAGAGCACCTGGATAGGAGGGAGGGCCAATTTGCAAGTAGCACACACACACACGAGGGGATGCGGGGGTGGAGGGGAGGGTTGGCGGGGAGGGAGCATGGCAAGTTTGCACACGCAGAGCAGCACGCACGCCGCACGCCCCACTCACTGATGTTGTTGCGCGACAGGTCGAGCGTCTTGAGCGACGAGAACGCCCCCAGCGGCGGAACGACCAGCAGCCCGCGCATGGACAGGTACACGGCCGCCGCGTGCTTGTCCAGCCCGCGCACCACCCTCCCCGCATGCTCCGCCGCCGCCGCCGCCCCCACAGCCACCGCGGCCTGCAGATTCCCCGCCGCCGCCGCGCCCCCTCCGTGCATGTGGCCGTGCGACATGGAGCGCTTGCTCATGCCGCTGGAGGAATGGTGGTGGTGGTGGTGGGGTGCGGGAGGGGAATGGGGCGGGAGTTGCGCGCTGCTGCTGCTTCCGCCGCCGCCGCCCTTGCTGCTGCCGATGCTGCTCCAGTGCTCGATGCTCTCAGACGGCTCCCACTGCCCGCGCGGGAGGCACCGCACCCACGCCTCCACGCGCGGGATGCCCGCCAGCCACATCGCCGTCATCTCCCCCGCCTTCCCCGCCTCCTTCGCCTCTCCTCCCGCCACACCTGCCGCTTTCCCCGCGGACGCTCCGCCAATGCCCTCCCCCGAGCCGATGGTCCCCGCGCCTGCGCTTCCTTCCACTGCGGAGAGCTGCACGTCCCCCAGCTCCGGCATGGACTGCGCGTCCGCCGCAATGGCGTCCGCGCCGGCTGCCGCTTCGCCGACGGGGGAAGATGCGCCTGTGGGCGGACAGGCGAGGAGGAGGTCCCCCGTGGTGCGGATGCGCGGAAGAAGCATGTCCGAGCGGGGCTCGGTCCGCCCCGCCTGGTCGCTGGTTGCGCCCTCACTGGCTGCGGAATCCCCCGCGCCAACGTCCTCTCCGGCGGGGATGGCGGAAGCGTCCCGCTGCGGAAGGCCATCCGCGCCCCTGGCGTCAACGGCGGACGGGCCCAAGGAAAACGGCTCTTCTCCCCCTCTTGGCGCTTCCGCTTCCTCCCCCTCCGGGCTGAAGTACATTTCCGCCCGCGAGGCGCGAATCTCCTCCCGCGCATCCCGCGCAGCCTCCTGCGCCGCCTCCTCCTCCGCCTCCTCGTCCCACGGCAGCACCGACAGCGGCCCCGACACCCCCAGCTGCAGGTGATCCAGGAGCAGCGCCGTGTCGGAATGCGCGGACGCTTGGCTCCGCGTATCGTCGTCGGCTTCCGCCTCGCCCCCGCTGCCTGCCTCCCCTTCCGCCACCGCCTGCGCCTCCGCCCAGTCATCTTTCATGTTCTCGAGGTGCCCTGTCATGTTGTGCCACATCGTACCGTACTCCGCCGCGTGCGCCGACTCCGCGTCGTCCGCGTGCTGCCCGTCTGCGCTGCCGTCCTGCGGAAGCGACGTGCGCCAGAACTGGAACCCCATGACGTCATCGTTCCCGTGACGGTTATCGTTATCGTCATCGTCATCGTAGTCTCCATCCGCGCCGAATCTGTCTGCTCCCGTCCCATCCCGATAACCACACGCTTCGTCCCTATCCTCCTCGAGCCTTTCCCTCTCTTCCCTCTCTCCCCCCTCGTCTCCCCCGTCCCCGTCTGCGCGGATCTTACCGCGGTCGCCGTCGGGCTGCAGTCCGCCGTGCGCGTCGAACATGTGCGCATAGTCGTCGTGCTCCATCGTCGTGCGACTGCGACTCCAAAGGGCGACATTCTCCACGGACGCGTCGCTTAGCGACGTGCGCTTCTCTGCCTCCTCGCGCGCCAACACCGCGTCCCCGCGATTCTCTCCAGGAGAACCATCGAGATCTCCAGCGGTAGGGCTGACCGGCGTCGTGTGCGAATAGTTGGACTTGTTCGCGACGTCGTCGTCCGGGTTGCACCATCGCATGGCCTGCGACAGCGCCACCTCGTTCGCGGTCTCCTGCTGGAAATAAACACCCGGGTCGCTCAAGTGGTCCATCATCCCGTCATCATCCGCGTCCTCCACGTCAGCATGGAATCCTTCGTCGTGTCGCTCCATACGCTCGTCGTCCCGCGGATCTGCGACCGCCACCCCGGCCTCCCCTCCGCTCGCCATGCCCTCACCCACCGACCGTGTATCTCCCCTCCCCGTGCCGCGTCACCTTGCCGTCACCCAGTCCTCCCGCGACGACCGGCGAAACCCCAACCACCACCCCGACCACGCTTCCGCAGATCTCGCCGCTAACGGTGGAAACTCGATCACCAGGGCCGATTCGGCTCCAGGACAGGCAGGCGAGTGGATCCCGGCCTGCTCGCGCGGCGAACTCGCGGGCACGCGGCATCAACGTGCTCTGCACCCCTCGCAGGAGCTCGCGCCCAGCCAGATCGCCAACCATCCAGCGACGCTCGCTCCTAAGGAGCACTGATTAACGCCTAGCGTGCAACAGAAGCTAATGACCAACAAGGCTAAGGACTACTACCGAGGGTGGACAGACTAAGCAGTTACAAGTGGTTAATCCGATGATCTCAAGGGCATAATGCATCTGAGAATCCGAGGCTGTGCTGGTGAGAGTCATGAATCCATCGCGTGTTGGGTGGAGGGTTCATCCCCTGTTGTCATGGATGGGCTCACTTCACACTCACTGCTGGGGTTCCAGCGGTGTTGGTTCGCTGCCGCTGCCTTGCACTTCGGGAATACCGAGTTTGTGGCTTCGCTCCGTCAGCTCGGGCGGAGTTTCGGCTGGCTGGCAGTCCCCGTGTGCACCGTTGGATGGTGTGCGCCGCTCTGGCGGCTGTCGGGCAAATCGACTGTGGGTGCCCAAACGCCCACTGCACTGCACAACCTTGGGAGTGTCATGAACACATCGGGAATCCGCGTTACGGAGGTGTCCAGAAACATCCGCAGGATCTTCTGGTTCATAATAAAAATAACATACATGCGTTTCACACATAAAACACACTGAACAAGTGCTCAGGAATTCGAGAATCTTAACTTGACTGACTGCTTTCTTTGCGCCAAAGCCCTCATGACACTCCTAAACGCCCCCGCTGAAGCCACATCACGTGCCAACTCGCCTTGCTCCTTATCAAGGATTCTAGAAAAGGGATTATACTGCAAACTTGCCCATGCAAAGTGCACCCACACTCGCCGCAGTGCAGCTTGCTTAAGAGCGAGCTCTTGTGGGGGGATGCTGGTGAGGATGCCGTGGAGGTGGGGGATGTCTGCCGGAGTCAGCCTCACTGAGAAGTCGTCCCAGTCCAAAAATCCATCCCCTTCAAATGGCATGCTCACATTGGGCTGGTGTGGGAGGGGGGAATGAGTGAGAAAGAGAATTCAGGCAAAGTCACAAGGATGCTAAGCATTTAAATGGAGTGAAAATAAATGTGCTTGTTAGCTGAAAGGATAAGGAGCTCTCACTTGTATAATCACTGGAATGCATCCAAGTGTCACCGCCTGAGTGGCCGTCTCATCAGCACCCCACCCCCCCGCCACCAGACAGAACACCGACCGAGCCATCCGCTCCAAGTACCCTCCCCTTCCCCCAGTCTCCCCTCCCACTCCTCCTTGCCCCTCCCCAAAATCCCCCTCCCCCGGTGTGCGCTCTATGACAAACCCCTTGGGCACAGCAGCAGCAGAGTCAAGCGAGTCAAACCAGTCAAACAGGGCCTGCCGCACCCCAAACGAGTAGTTAAAGCCCAACAGTGGTTCCACGTCCTGCCCATCAAACCCGCAGAAGAAGAAGAAAATATCCCGGCCAACAGTCTGCCCGTTTTCTCCTTGAACGCCCATGGCCGCCTCATACACCTCGGGCAGCAAAACGGGCGGGATAACAACATCCTGCCCGGGAATGAAGCAGCCAGGCAGGGCGGCATCAAACGGCATGTTCCCTGAGTACCCCCACAGCGACAGCACTGTGCTGCGCGCCAGCATCGGGTCTCGCCGCCCGGCCTCGCCGACCTCACATGCCGCCCAGTCATCATTGGCAAGGAAGACGTGGTTGGCGCCAGCATGGCGGTCCCAGTAGGGCCACGCGTCCCTTATGTGCTCGATGGCCCACGACAGCACACTCTGCTTTGCTATGCCTCGGTGCCTGTGGAAGGGCAGGGAGGAGGCGACGCAAGTATGGGGACTGGGCTATCAATGTGCAGGTTTGAGGTGCAGGTTTGAGGTGCAGGTTTGACGTGCAGGTTTGAGGTGCAGGTTTGAGGTGCAGGTTTGAGGTGCAGGTTGGAGGTGCAGGTTTGAGGTGCAGGTTTGAGGTGCAGGTTGGAGGTGCAGATTTGAGGTGCAGGTTTGAGGTGCAGGTTTGAGGTGCAGGTGTGAGGTGCAGGTTTGAGGTGCAGGTTTGAGGTGCAGGTTTGAGGTGCAGGTGTGAGGTGCAGGTTTGAGGTGCAGGTTTGAGGTGCAGGTTTGAGGTGCAGGTTTGAGGTGCAGGTTTGAGGTGCAGGTTTGAGGTGCAGGTTTGACGTCAGGTTTGACGTCAGGTTTGAGGTGCAGGTTTGAGGTGCAGGTTTGAGGTGCAGGTTTGAGGTGAAGGTTTGAGGTGCAGGTTTGAGGTGCAGGTTTGAGGTGCAGGTTTGAGGTCAGGTTTCAGGTGCAGGTCTGACGTCAGGTTTGAGGTCAGGTTTGACTTCAGGTTTGAGGTGTAGGTTTGAGGTGCAGGTTTGAGGTGCAGGTTTGACGTCAGGTTTGAGGTCAGGTTTGAGGTCAGGTTTGACGTCAGGTTTGAAGTGCAGGTTTGAGGTGCAGGTTTGAGGTGCAGGTTTGAGGTGAAGGTTTGAGGTGCAGGTTTGAGGTGCAGGTTTGAGGTGCAGGTTTCAGGTCAGGTTTCAGGTGCAGGTTTGACGTCAGGTTTGAGGTCAGGTTTGACGTCAGGTTTGAGGTGCAGGTTTGAGGTGCAGGTTTGACGTGCAGGTTTGACGTGCAGGTTTGACGTGCAGGTTTGACGTGCAGGTTTGAGGTTAGGTTTGAGGTTCAGGTTTGACGTCAGGTTTGATGTCAGGTTTGAAGTCAGGTTTGACTTCAGGTTTGAGGTCAGGTTTGACGTCAGGTTTGAGGTCAGGTTTGAGGTGCAGGTTTGAGGTGCAGGTTTGAGGTCAGGTTTGAGATGCAGGTTTGACGTGCAGGTTTGACGTGCAGGTTTGAGGTCAGGTTTGACGTCAGGTTTGAGGTCAGGTTTGACGTCAGGTTTGAGGTCAGGTTTGAGGTAAGGTTTGAGGTCAGGTTTGAGGTGCAGGTTTGAGGTGCAGGTTTGAACACTGAGGTGATTGTAAGGTGCGACAAGGTACAGATTGGATGCTGACTAGACGCTGATTAACTGCTGACTAGATGCTGACTGGATGCCAACTCACCTCAGCAGCAGGGGCACGTAGAACAGGTCAGCCTCATCGGGATCAGCAGTGCGCCATGCTGACGTCAGCAGCGCGTCCAGAAACACGTACCCCTCCCACCGCCCCCTCCCCGCCCCCAGCACGCCCTGCCACGTGTTCAGGTACCCGGGCAGCTCGTACACAAATATTTTCGGCCGGGCAGCGGAGACGAGCGCAGGGGAGGGCGGCGGGATGGCGTCGGTCCAGAGGAAGGGTCTGCGGCGGTGCAGAGTGGTGGCGCCGTGGGCATCGAGGGAAAGCGCACAGTCAATGCCAAACGTGCCCCTCGCACACTTGCACACCCCCTCCACACACTCGCCGCCCGCTCCTCTCTCCCCACGTTGCTCCCCCTCCCCGTCCCCTGCATATTCTCCACCCTCCTCCCCCTCCCCCTCTCCCCCCAAGCTGTGAGCGCCACAGACCCCGAAGCAGTCAAACGGCAGCCAGCCAGGCTGCTCACAGCCAGCACCTGAGTAGAGTGCGGGGCAGCTGGGGTGGGAAGGTTGTGGTGGAAGGAAGGGGAGAGGGGGAGGAAGTTTGAGACATGTCGAAAGGAGAAATGGGGAAGATCGGGGGGAGGCAGTTTGGGTGGCTGCAGCAGGAGCCAGAATAGAGTGCGAGGTGGCTGGCGGGGAAGGCGGTGGCGGTGAAGATAGGGAGAAGAGGGGTGATGGGCGGCGCATGAGCATATGAGAAGAAGGAAAGAAACGAGACAATAGACAGATGCATGTGAGTGTGGCACATGATGACTCTTCAGGTCACCACTCACATGCACGTGAGGCTGCTTCTGTCACACACGCCAACGCCCGAGCAGTTATACGGGCACTCGTGCGGCGCCCCAAACCCCCCTCCGTCCTCCTCCCTTCCCTCCGCATCCCCCCCGCCCCCTCCGCGCACTGTCTCCCCAGGCCCCACCTCATTCCCCCGCCCATCCAGCACCAGCGCCACCTGCCTCTGTTCATACAGCCTCGCCACGTCCACCCACGGCCCGCGCCTTCCAGGAAAGTCACCCCATGCCTCTTCTTCCTTGACCTTGGGCTCGTCGTCCCCTTCCTGCCCCTCCTCCCCCTCCTCCCCCTCCTCCCCCTCCTCCCCCTCCTCCCCCTCCCCTCCCGCCTCCTTTCCTGCCACCCCTACTTGCCCGGCTCCCACCTCTTTTGTGCTGTTGCTGCCCTTGATCCAGCCAATCAGGGCGTCTCTCACCCCTCCACCACGAGCCACCACAGCAGTCAAAAAGGAAGAGGAATTGCCCGCTCTGCTGCTGTTGACTCCACCACCACCACCACTGGCACCAGCACCACTACCAGCAGCAGCAGCAGCGGTATCATTCCCCCCCATGAGCGCCCCGCTCTCATCAAAGCACTCTGGTAGATGCTCCAGTCGGTACCGATCGCACTCCCTCACGCACGCACATGATGTCGCCACGTGGCACGGCGTCCACACGTCCGGCGCCAGCTGGCAGCTGGGCATGGCCAACACGTGGCAGTGCTTGCCTGTGAAGCCAGGCACGCAGTGACACGTGGCAGTGGCCTCGTTGCACGTGCCCCGTAGAAAGCAGAGGGAGGAGCAGTTGGAGGGGGGCGACGAGGGGGAGAGGGAGGAGGAACGGGAGGAGGGGAGGGAGGGATGGAGGGAATTGGCCCGACTATGAGGGAGTGAATGTGACGATGGCAGCAATGACAGCGAATGCAGCTGGTTCGTGGAACCACCTCTTCCGCCCACCCCACTCTCCCCGCCCTCCTCTCCCTTGCTTTCCCGCTCACCCTCTTCCTCTTCCACCACCACTCCCCCAACCGTGTACCATCTCTTCCCCCCAGTCCCCCTCCCTTTCCCCCACGCTCCCCCTCCTCGCCCCACCCACCCAACCCCCTGCCTGTACCCCCCTGCTTCCCCACCCCCCGCCATCTTGCTTGCTCGGGAAAACACAACGTTGGGTCCCCCACCAGGTACAACCTGCCCAACTGCCGCTGGCAGCGTCACCATCCCCTGACCAGCCGAAACTTCAGCTGCCCGAACCCGCCGCCCGAGAGCAGCCATGACGGAAGAAAAAGCATCCGAGGAGGCGAGCAGAGGTCGCAGCTTCTTCTGCAGATACAGCAGACTGGAGGGCGTGGGGGGGGAGGAGGAGGCTGAGGAGGCGAAGGAGGAAGAAGAGGAGGAAGAAGAAGAAAAGGAGGAGGGGGAGGGAGAGAGGGGGCTGTAGAGCGGCGAGGCCCAGAGCAGGCGCGGCCAGGCGGCCTTCATGGCAGTGCGGCGCCCAGCCACCTCTTCTGGAGTGATGCCTCGCAGTATCTCCGGGAGCTCTGGCAGCTGCTGGGGAGACAGGAAGAGCGCCAGGGACGGCCAGTGGATGGCTCCTGCTGTGCCTGTGCGTGCGCTGGCGCTGGCATGGGTGTCATAGCCGGGGAGGAACTCAGTGCTGGCCAGGGGCTGCTGGCTGTGGGGCTGGACGACCACAGGGATGCACCCGAGGAGCACTGCCCGCACCACCGTGTCACTGTAGCCCGTGGCGGGCATGGGTGCAAAGCAGAACTGCGCCCGCAGCATGGCGTCTGTCACCGTGCCCTCCTCTCTCTCCTCCTCTCCCTCCGCTTCCTCCCCTTCCACCCCTTCCATCCCTGCCTCCCCTGCCTCGTCCCAGTTCCTGTCTTGCTCCTCTTGTGCTGCCCCCGTGCGCTGTGCGCCCACGTGCATGATCCGGAACCCCACCTGCTGCTGCCGGTGGGAGAAGAGCTGCACAAACCGCACACCTATACTCGATTCAGGCTCATTCGATACAAGACTCGAGGCCGACAACGAAGCAGCACGTGGGTCCCTGTGCACCGTGGCCCAGTCGCCTCCAGGCCTCCCCACCCACTCGCCTCCTCCCATCGCTTCCCCAGCTCTTATACCCGCCCCGGCCCCCGGACTCCACACCCCCTCTGCTTTTCCTGCTTTGCCCATCCTCCCCCCTGCCCCCGCCCCTGCCACTGCCCCTGCCCCTCCGCTTCCCCTCGTCCCCCGAACAACAAAGAGAAGCAGAGTGTTGCGGTCGGGGGTGCCTTCAAGGGGCTCGCGCACAAAGGGAGAGGCGAGCACCATGGAGGGGGGCAGCAGCGGGGGGATCACCACGTCTTGTCCGGGAATAAAGCACTGCCCTCCGCGCCCCTGCTGCTCCCCCTGATGTATCTGCGCCCATTTCCCCACCCTTGCCCCGCCTATCCTGTCATCCGCACCTCCCGCCCCTCCCGTCCCTCCCCCATACCCCCAGGGCGTCAGCACCACAGCTCGCTCCAGCCTCGGATGCCTCTGCAGAACCATCCCTTCCCCCTCACCTTCCGCTGCTCCTCTGCCACCCCACCCGCTTGGCCGCATCTCGCACGCCCCCCAGTCGCCGTTGAGCAGGAAGACGTGGTCGGCGCCGTTTGTCCTGTTCCAGAAGGGCCAGTGGTGGCTGATGTATGCCACTGCAGCGTCAATGGCGTCCCACCCCGCCATTGCTGTGCTACCATATGCGCCCATCCCCATGCTTGCCCCCATGCCCCCCATGCTCACGCTCATTTGCCCGCGATTCCTGGTGATTGAGAGAGGAGCGATGGGGGAAAAGATGGAGAAAGAATAGAGGGAGGTGAGGACTGGAAGGGGGAAGGGGCACAGGTCACAGCCTGCACCTGCACCTCTTGTTCTTCCCTAGATTCGGTCCAGCAAGTCAGGTCAGGGTGTCACAACTGCCACCTGGTTACCACAGCCACACAGGACCTGGTAACCACTGCCCCACCTCACCTGGTAACCACTGCCCCACCACCACTCACCTGGTTACCACTGCCCCACCTCACCTGGTAACCACTGCCCCACCTCACCTGGTAACCACTGCCCCACCTCACCTGGTAACCACTGCCCCACCTCACCTGGTTACCACTGCCCCACCAACACTCACCTGGTTACCACTGCCCCACCAACACTCACCTGGTTACCACTGCCCCACCAACACTCACCTGGTTACCACTGCCCCACCAGCACTCACCTGGTTACCACTGCCCCACCAACACTCACCTGGTTACCACTGCCCCACCAACACTCACCTGGTTACCACTGCCCCACCAACACTCACCTGGTTACCACTGCCCCACCAGCACTCACCTGGTTACCACTGCCCCACCAACACTCACCTGGTTACCACTGCCCCACCAACACTCACCTGGTTACCACTGCCCCACCAACACTCACCTGGTTACCACTGCCCCACCAACACTCACCTGGTTACCAGCGGCACATAAAAGTAGTCTGCCTGCTCGCCATCCGCTGTGCGTCTGCCATCCGCCAGCAGCCTCTCCAGGAACACCACCCCCTCGGGGCGGTCCAGTGCGCCCGAATGCTCCCACTGCCACGTGTTCAGCTCTGGGGGGAGCTCGTACACGTACACCCGTGGGCGGGGATTCTTGTCTTGTAGCGCCGCCCGGAAGGGCGGGGACTGGGGCGGCCATCTGAAGGTGGGGTTTGGGAGGATGCTGGGGCGGGAAGGTGGGGAGGGTGGGGTTGGATACGGGTGGGTGGGAGGGGCGAAGGTGGGTGGGAGGGGCGAAGGTGGGTGGGAGGGGGTGGAGGAGGAGGAATGGGCGGGTGACAGCAAGAGACAAAACAAAATGAGTGAGAGGCAGTGCAAGGCAGCTCCTGTCAGCCATACCCTCACCCTCACCTTATGTTTCCCGTGCTGGGATCCAAAGACAGCGAGCAGTCAATGCCGAAGCTGCCAGGCTGGCACGCGCACGTGCCACCGTCGCACCTGCCGCGCCCACTGCACTCGTTCACGCACCGCACACCCCCCGCGAGCTCCTCCTCGCACCCCGGCCCCGCGTAGCGCCACGCGCAGCTGGTGGAGAAGGGAGGGGGGAGCGGAGGAGCGGGAAGGCGGGAGAGCAGGAGAGCGGGGAGAGGTGAAGAGAGGGGAGCGACAAACGGAGCAGAGTGAAGGGCGCGAATGCTTGAAATTTGCATTCTACTTGAATCAGAGGGCAGAGCGATCATCAGCTTGGGGATGATAGGAAATGGCGGGACGATGGGCACGCACTCGCACGTCTTGGACGCGTCACGGCACAGCCCGCGACCAGAGCACCCCAGGGGGCACTCCCGCGGGTCCGTGTATCGCTTCCGCAACTGCCACGTGTACCGCGCCCACATCTGCTTCTGCGCTCCGCCCGCCACCCGCCCGCGCGATGCCCGTTCTCTCTCCCCTAAGCCCGCTGCCCCCACGCCAGCCGAACTTCCCCAGTCGTTCCGAGCGCCCCCTGACGGCATGTCCCTTCCGCCCGCCCCTCTCCATCGTGCATTGCGCCCTCCGTCCCATCTCCGCGAGCTCTTGCGCAACGCGGGGAGATCGTTGCTGTGAAATCTGCTTGGCCCGCGTGGACCGGTGGATGCCCCTCCAGCCACTACCGCGGATGCAACTGCGCCGTTCCCCGAGCCAGTCTGCGCTCCCCCCTCCTCTATTCCCAGGGTCCCCCATTCTGCCTCATCCCCCCCTTCCGTTGCGCCCACTGTCGTGACCTCCGCGCGGAAGATGTCCGCCAGCGAGCGTGGCGGAATGGCAGAGGCGTTGGGGGAGGCGTTGAAGCACACCGCGCCGGGGCCGATGAGATGAAACGCGCGGCACTCGCGCGCGCATTCGCAGGTGGAGGGGAACGCGCACGGCGTGCGGAAGCCCGGCGCAAGCTCACAGGAGGGGAAGGCATCGGCCTCGCACGCGCCGCCCGTGAACCCCGCAGGGCAGTCGCAGCGACCGAGCTCCTCGTTGCACGTGCCGCGGCGCGAGCAGCGCTTCGAGCAGCGCGATCTGAATTGGGGACTCCATCGGCTGGTAGCGTGCGAGGAGAAAAAACCCTCTTCATCAGGGCCGTCTGTTAGGGCTAATCTTGTCAGATCGATGACTGCAAAAAGAGCGAGGAGAAAAGCGACGGCGAGGACGGCAAGGCGGGAGAAACGGCGTAGGCGGGTAGGGGAGGTGCGGGCCCACTTAGAAGTTTTTTCGGAGACTGGTGACGGCGGAGGGCTAACCTTCTTATTGCGAAGCAAATGGTTACTATCCTCTGACTGCCGGGACCATTTAAGGCGGAACACCCGCGACGTGAAGCTAGATACCCCGCGTCGCCATTCTGAGCCACGCGGACCTGCTGTGCTAGTCAACGTGAGTCGCGTGGGAGCGCAGACTACGTGGTACTTTGAGTCCATCGTCGGGTTACCTCTTCCTGAAGTGCATGAGGGCAGTGCTCGAGAATCTCAAGGATGGCTCTTGCTGGGGAATCCGCGGTTGCTTGTAAATGAAGTGAAAAGCCAAGGCGAGGAGAGTTGGGAAGGTAGGGAAGAAGAGAACCGAGAAATCTGTAACTGTGTTGGGTGGCGCGAATTGACACAGGGAAGGGACTGTGGAGGAGGATTGATGTGGCGGGAAACTGTGTCAGAGATTTGAAGTCGATTCGACATAGAGTAGACTGCGTGGGACGTGTGGACTGTGTACCTGTCACGAGTGCAATTGAGTGAGCGAGCGAGAATTGCACTATCTAAGAAGTCTAATGAGCGAAGGCATGAGCGAAGAATATATAGCGAAACTACAGTGGTAACGGTAATGGACTGTGGTTGTCGCGCGACGGGCCTGGGACTGAGGTTTGGGAAAGTGTCGAAGCGGAGGCCCGGAGCGCGGGTTACCCGCCGAGCCGTGAGGTCGGGGTGCGACGTGCGAAGGTGGCGGGAGGATTGTCGATGCGAGAATTGCGAGTGGTAACGGTGCTGACTGTGGTGCTGCAGTGGTGTACGCGCTGAGCGGGGACGCGAAGTAAGGAAAAGGAATTTTCCTTATAGTACCCAGCGTATGCTTTCTAGCTTCAAAATTGTTGGGAATATAAACGCATGACTTAGTGCGTTTCTGTAGTATCGAACCTCACCCGATACTGAAGCACAACAAAAGGAGTATGAAGTCGAAAAGGCGCGTACCACATCAAACCGCAACTGGAAGTTGCGAGCCGTAACCGCCTGGAGGTTACGCAACAGCAGGCGACGCTTCAGTAAACAGTAACCGCCTCGATAGTCGAAGCGTTACGCGTCTCGATAAACATAACCGCTTCCTGTGATCTATCTTTTCTATATATTCCTGTATGCTCTTTGCTTTAATCAATTACTTGTTCTCACATACCAGCACAAGTACATTCACTCAAGTCTTCCGCTGTGCTACTCTAGCACCTACTAGCCTATTCTCTGCAAAGATCCTAAGGCTGAAATCCTCAGCCCAACATGGTATGAGAGCAGTCAGAGAACAAAGGCTCTCGTCACTAAGCCTCTTCCAGGCTACCGATCTGCAAGTAACCAAGAAGTTCAATCTTCATTCAAGAAAGGCAAGACATGGCAAGTGGCAAAGAAAGAAGATCATCTACGGGATCTACTCTACCCCCGGTCTCCGAGTTGCAGACCGAAGGAGGAACAACGCCCGGATTAACGCCGGAAGCGACGGAACGTTCTACTCAAGCGCCAGTAGCGCCGCCAACAATCTTCAACCCAAGCTTAATGGAGGAGCTCTTCAACTTCATGTCGCAGCAGCAGTCCTCACAACCTGCAAACAGCAACAGCGTAAACAACGGAGCGGCACCAATGAGTATTGACAACTCATCGTTCGGACGACATAATCAACAAACACCAAATTTGGTCTCACCTGGTTCCTTCACGTTCATGCCGCCTCGCCATCCAGCGACCCCTCTTCCCGCCATCAAACGAGACACCGAAGAAGTCCTGCAAGTACAAGCACAGTTCAACAACATCCTGCGACTGCACACATCCACACCATTCAACGAAAAGGACTTCTACTCTTGGAGCTTCGAGTTTGAACTCCTGATGGAAGGCGCGAATCTTCTTGGATTCTTCAACGGTACCTGGCCATATCCACACAACGGCGAAGACAAAAACAAAGAAAATTATACGTATCACTCCCTGATGGCTTACACCGTTCTTCTCCAAAACCTGTCGCCGAACGAACAACAAAGCATCCGCGCCTACCGGAACTACGCAAACTCCGCGGAACTCGCCTATCAACATCTGCGAAGCATTCATCAAGCATCCGACAGCGTTACACAAAGCCGACTCATGGCACAACTGACAACAGTTCAAATGCAACCTGGAGAAAAGGCCATGCCTTACATTTGTCGCTGTCAAGGACTACGCGACAGACTTATTCGCTGCGGAGGAAACTTATCTGAAGAAGCTTTCGTAACCGTCGTTCTTGCCGGCCTTGGACCTCAATGGCGCACCACCCGTTCACTTCTTCGCGCTCACGGTCGACTCTCCGAAATGCATCTCTGCGCCGAACTTCACGCCGAGCAGCAGGAAATGGACCTGTTCGAAGAACGCAACAACAAAAGGCATCATCAACCAGTTGTTCTTTACACCAATCGACGACAGCCACGTTACCAAAACCGAGGACACGTACCTCCTTATTGTCATCTGTGTCGGACTTCAGGATACACACGCTTCAGCTGCCCTCAGCAACAACGACAACCAGCGCCATTCTCTCGTCCTCTGCGACCCGCGCCTCCCCACATCGCGTCAACTCAACAACGACCCGCTACCGCCTCAACGACTACTTCAACGCGACCGTCAACTTCCACTTCGGGACCTGCACAGACATCAAGAATCGTCGCCATGACACGAACAACAGAGTCAAACATCGACTTGTGTATTACCGGCTCACCACCGACTTACAGTCCTGATGAGCAACCGTCACCACCACCGTCGTCCCTTAACGTGAATCCAACGTACGCCGCCATCGCGAACAGTGCACCCACCGGACCAGACACATGGTTCCTCGACAGCTGTTGCGGTCATCACATGTGCTCTTCATCACGATTTCTTCAGCGCGAACGACGTCTTCCGCGAGACGTCATCATCACCGTCGCCAACAACGAAAACCTGCGCACCAACAAACAAGGAGTCGTGGAGCTTCAGTCAAACGAAACAAACGTTATCCTTCAACTAAACAAAGTACTCGTCGTCGACAACCTCGGCTTCAACTTACTGAGCGTCAGCCAACTCATGTCGAAAGGCGTTCACCTGGAGTGCGACTCCGACACCCTGGAAATCCGTCTTTACCACGGAAAAGGGGGGGTCTTCATCGGCCGCGCAATCCAACAAGATGACGTGTTCGTCCTCGATTTCGTCTCCGACAAAGGCACTGCAGACAGCGACGGCATAGTCGCTCTCGCACCTTGGTCGCATCCGCCAGACCTCGACCCGAACTTCAGTCCTGAAGGCTTCTGGTACTCTCGTACCATTCCCGAAGCTGAACGCACCACCGCGCATGCCGTCCTGCAAACACAAGCAACAACACCTGAGTCAGCACCCGTCATCGAAACAACTGCACCCGTCACAGCACCAACAACCACCGAACCTGCAGTTGAAGAACCAACCGTCGTCGCGGAACAACCTTCCGAAACTCCACAGCCCGGTCCCTCCGTCGCACCACCACCTCTCATCATCGACACGCCACCGACAGCCGCCCAACAGTTAACGCCAGCACCACGCGCTGTTCATCGAAGTGCAGCAACACACGCCGCCTTTTTCGCTAACGCAGACTTCTATCAACGCTCCGTCGGTCACAGCGCCTCCGAAGACATCTGGCATCAACGTCTTGGACATCCTGGAAACAAAACACTTTACAACACAATACGAGCCGGAGTGTTAGACAAGAACGCCCTACTTCTTCCCAGCGGACGTGAACTCGAACGACCACGCGGCACTTGCTTCATCTGCCCGGAAGCAGATCTGCCTCACCAACCATTCCCGTCACATCACAACCCGAGCGCCCCCGTTTATCAACCACTCGAGAAAGTCTACAGCGACATCCTCTACATACCTCGAACTGAAGGACGTGAAGATCTGAACTACGTCATCACCTTCATCGACGCCGTGTCGCAATATCAGGAGGCAGATAAGGTTACGAGTACGGAGAATGTGTATATACTGTATATTTGTACAGGTTGTCGAGTGAAGAGGTATCGGGGACTGGGACCGAGGCTGGTGTGATGGATGGGCGATATTGGGCTGCCGAGTCAGCCAATAGACGCATGGGGAGATGGTGCGGGGACAGTTGGAGGGAGCTCTTTTGTTTCGTGTGCTGTATGCATGTTTGCTTTCTTGCAGGACGAATGCCCGAGCCAGCTGGATTTGCAGGCACGAGCTGGAGGTCAAGCAGTGGGCGGCTAAGTGGTGGTGGAGAGAGGAAGGGGGAAATTGTTCTTTCACTACGGCGGAAGTCATCCCTTCGAAGGGTTTCTTTGGAGTAGCAGTAAGGGGGGGGGGAGGACGCAGGCTAGGATATAAGGGGGTACGGCATAGTTCTCTGCATTGTTTGTATGTTCTGTTTTACTCATGTGATTGCAGCAAGAATCGCGTGAAGGATTTGACAGGCCATAACAAACGTAGGTGATTGCTGATGAAGATGTAAGTAGGTTTATTGCGTAGATGTGAGTAAGCACGGTTAGCTTATCACATACAAACAATCACCGGTGGCGATAGTATGCGCACAAGGGGCGGGACGGAATACGGCGAAGAAACGGAAAGCGAGAGCGCGGAGGCTACGGTGAAGGAACAGTCGGGCACGATGAACGAGGGCACCGACACGAGGGCTAACGAAGCTCGAGACGATGGCTCGCCAAGGCGGGAAGCGGAAGGAGTGAATCGGCCTGAAGGCGGAGAGCGGGGATCCGCGGAAGCAGTGAAGAAGGATGCGCGATCGGAAGGACGACCGATGCGAGATGCAGAGGAAGGACGACCGACTGGCTCTTACCAGCGGAGCGCGTCATGGCAAGAAGACGCCTCTGCGCAGCGGTGGAAGTACACACTCCTGCCGAAGATCGAAGTCCCAGAACGCTTCTCTGGTGATATGCGGCGAGGTCCAACGATTAAGAACTACGTGATGCAGCTGGATAACCTGAGGGCTCGATGGGAAAGAGATCGGCTGGACCCGGAGGAATTCTTCAGAGGTCTCGCGAACACTCTTACAGGCGAAGCGGAGACCTTCTATCGGCTCAGTCGGAGGGAACTACTGGAATGGACCGCGCGGGCAGCACCAGGAGAGAGAGATCCGACCACTCGTTTTTTTGGCGCTGCTGGAAGAGATCAATTCCCGACGCAGACGCCAGAAAGGGTGGCGGAATTCAGAGAATTCCGTCGTCGCACAGGAGAATCGC